AACTTCACAACAATGCATGGGTGGGGAACCGAAGCCCGTATTGCAGCTGCCGGGTATAAACCCCGATATATCCGGGTGGAGGGCGGTGAATTCTTTCCTCAGCAGAAGGCATTTGGCACCAGTAGCCATCCCCTTCCATAGTGCCGTAAAAATTCTCGAGTTGCTCGGCAAAATAATATTTGGCGTCATTTTCAATCCACCAAGAGTAGGGCGCAGCATTCATTATGCCCTCGTTCTCTCGGATATCCGTCCATTGCCTTTCCTCGGGAGTCAACGGCCTAGATGCCGAAGCCCTACTTCGGCCAGAAGTACTGGCTTGTCCAGAATCTTACGGGGCTACGCTAGTGAGGGGGACGACCCTTAGCGCAGCTCCCCTCGGGATAGCAGCAGGCCCAGTCCTAGCATTGGGATTATGGCCACTAAGAAACGGCATCATCGCCAGAGGTCGATTCCGCCTCGGAATCAATTGCGACGTTTCTTCTTCTTCTCCCTCAGAGTTTGGTTCGGATTCAATGGGCCTCTTGCCTCGGTCACCAGCCATTTTTAGGGAAAAAAGAGAATGCGAAAAGTCGAAAATTGAGGAAAAAGGGGAGTATTCCAGAAAACCGAAGAAATTTTGAAGAAAATTACCTTTACCAAGTTCAGAATTCGTCGATATATAAGTTTGGGGCAATGGATTTCACTTTACAGCTTCGGATTGTTGGGAATGAGCGAGAAATGAATTCGAGTAAAGGGATTGAATTTAGAGAAAAAGGGGATTCGCATGCGCAAAACCGTGTGAAATAGTGAGGGGTAATAGTGCCACTAGCTTAAATATTTTTCCGGAAACAAGATTTTTCGGAGTTAAAGCTATTGAAAACCCCACTAATCCCACTTTAATTAGTGGTTGTTCATGTTCCACTCTTTAATTGACCACCTGCTAAATCTTCTCCACTTCCTCCATAAACGGTTATTAGCACTAATGACTCATTAACTTCCCTAAATTCAAATTATCTTCATTTACTTCCCTCCAAATTCCACAAAGTCCGGAACCCGACTCGTTATCCTTCCGAGTCGGGTCTGGGGGGAAAATTGTCTGGGTCAAATATTCTTATTGTTTGGGCCCAGTCCATAAATGAAATGCAAAGCCCAAAAGCAAGGTTCAACCCTCCAGTCCATGTGCCAAGTCAGTCAACGACCCACTCCAAGGGGCAAGCCCGTTTGGCTTCCAAAGCCCAATCCATTCAATTGAGGAAAGGTACAAAAGACATAACTTGATCATTTTACAATCATTCACAATCAGCCTTAAGCATTTATTCTCTTGCATAGCATTTACTCCTTACACAGTACTGACTTCGGCATTGGAGGGGCCTTCCTCGGCACAACCCCCGAGGCCAGTTTTACTTGTTTTTGCTATGCAGGAAATCCTTGGCCCAATAGTCACTCGGACCAAGATTCGTCTTCTCCCACAAAAGGACCTGCCGAAGGTCCCATTATTTTCTTCCGAAACAAACAATAAAGATATCTAAACCAAACATGAAAAGGATAATATAACTCATATTCCAAATGGCCATAGCAAATACTCGGTTGGTCTATTTGCTAGCTTTGATAGACTTTATTTCATTCAAATCTTTAGAGCATACACAATGGTTGCCCAACCCCATCTTGGTTATTGATTATTTTATTATTTTATCCATCTTCCACCTCACTTATAACCACTCTTATAACCATTTAATAACCAATGTATGCCAATATTTAACCATAATATTTTGGTTATACATTTTCTCTCTCCTACTTTTACCCAACCCCACCACACAATTTATTACTTAAATTCTATTATTATTAAATAATGCATTTGGTAATAATCATTCAAAATTAATAATTATTTATTAGCATACATTAATTAGATAAAATCTCAAAAATTTAAAAATAATGCAATTTTGATATTAATTAGTACGTAATTAGTCGTTAATTAAGACACAAACAATAACTTAATTTTTTTATTAATAATGACATTATAATATAAAATTCATTCACATCCTCAAACAACAACTTATTAAAAATATTCAAACTACAAATCAGACCTTAAGTACATAAAAAAGAACAATAAAAAAGGAATTATTTGAAATCAACCAACATTACGACAATAATCAACCATACACTAATACATTAGTCTGAGGGGAACAACTTCTTCAACAAAGTGCTCCTTAATTCTTGATCTTCCGAAGATAAGTTTGGCTTTGAATCGAGGTGTTTAAATAACTCCATATTAATTTTTCTTTGCTTCCTTGCTTCTTTCTCCCTTTCTAGTTGCAACCTTGTAAGTTCAACTTCATTTTCTGATTGCCTTATAAGGTTCATGTTCTGGGCAGTGTCCAACCATTGTTGCCATGCTCCACTTGGCATGTTTGGCACCTTGCTCTTTCCTTTATTTTTACTAGATTCGTTGCTAGAAGGAAAGCCTGAATACCCAATATCACCACTGGTTGGTGTTTCTGGGTTTGATGAAGAGGAGTAGTTTCCAGCTTCATTGATACGAGATCTCTTTGAGTCACTTCCTTGAGTGGATGTCTTTTCCTTGCATTTTTTAACAACATCTTCACTTGGTTTCCATGCTTCATGTTGTTTTAAGATGTCCCAAACATGCTTGTCTTGAAAGGTTTTAGAGCATAATGAAGACTTTGCTTTGTCGTTAGCATATATACTATATGCTAATTTCATAACATCTTCATCATTCATACCACTTCCCTTTTTTGATTCAGCATGAGCATGTGAGCCACAAAATTTAGAACATGAAGCATTAATCCTTCTCCAACGGTTTCTAAGTTGCTCCGTACCCCTCATTTTCAACAAATCTTCTCGTGTTACCCGATCAGTACCTTCTTCGAAACACCTTTGTTTGTATAGTCTAACATTATTATACATTTCTTCAATTTTCCTCCAAAAAACATCCCCCTTTTGGTTAGTGTTAGTTTTTTTATTTTGACTAACCTCAAGCCAAGCCTTCACAAGAACCACTTCTTCAGCTTTTGACCAAAAAATTTTCCTTCCATCTTGATTGCCTCCTTCATTACCTCTTTCATTACCTTCGCCTTCTTCAACTTCTGGTTCATTTTCGTCATCTGATGTATTCGATGTGTATGAACAATCGAAACTCGGAAATGCACCATCACCTTGTGACATAGAAAAATGTTGAGACATGGAAAATGTTGAATCAATTTGAGAGATTTGAATATTTTCAAAAGATGGGATAACATTTGGAGAATTTGAATAATTAGGATTTTGTGGTGGTTGAAAAGGAAACGGAGTGAAAGTACTTGGATTTGAGAAATTGAGATTTTGTGAACCGTAATTCGGAAAATTTTGAAAATTTGTATCTAAATCTGAGTTGAAATCAATTGGAAGATTAGAATAGTAAGGTTGAGGATTTGGATTATTTTGGGGCTGTGATGAGTTATGAGATTTTGTGGATTTTTTTTTTCTGTTAGATTTTGGAATGTTCATCTTAACACAATTTGCCAATAAGAAGAGTAATTTTCACTTAAAAAAAAGTTGTTTCAAAATACTTCAATATTGGGCTCATTTTATAGAGAAAAATAAAATAGAGCCGTTGGTGTATTTTTTTTTTTTCAGAATTGTATTTTAAAAATTATGGCCGTTACAAAAATTACAACGGTTATAAATTCAGAGCAAATCTCAACCATTGATATTTGTATTACGTGTCAAAATCTTAGCCATCCATGTCAACCAAAAAGCAAAAAAAAAATTGCATGACCATATACATAACCGGTTATTTGAATAACCTGGTTATTCAATTGATACCCCAATAATTTCTCTCTCCTCAATATTTTATTAATATTTTCATTTTCTCTCTCTTAATAACCACCCAAATAGTTAATGGCTGTGGGTACTCTTACAACGTTAAAAATTTATCCTTATTTTTTCTTAAAACAAAAAAGGTATGTTGTTGTAATGTTATTTACTTATCTCCCACAACTTCTTTTGTATTGTTTTTTTTTTTGTTTTAAATATATCTTCTTCTTTTTAGAGGGATATTTTTAAATATATCTCCCACAAGTTAATCTACAGCTTTTAATTGACGTTTGGTGATTTTGTTTATTTTAAATTAATTATGAAAAAAATACTTATTTTGTAAAGTTGATACATTAACAAATAAAATATTAAATGTTCCATACTGAACAATTTGATAGATATATAATGATTGAGAGTGTATAGCTTAGTCCAAACATTTTTATCCTTGTTATGTAAGAAACACTAATGTGACAACAATATTAAATAAAATTTACTATCAAAAACATTAAAAGAAAATTTAATGCATGCTTTGAAAATCGATAGCCAGGCAAATTACACCTCTACATTGAGAAAGGAAGGATTTGCCAAATTGGTATTAATTAATAAAGAAATTACTAAAATAGTGTTCACTTGAAAATATTTCTCAAAGTGGCGTTCACGTAGGTTTGGAAATTACAAAGCTAGGAGTTAAAACATGATAGCTAAAAGCCTTGAAACATAATTGAAGAGACAATTTCTTTATAATAAAATCCTAATAAATATGTATACCATCAAATTCTTTATCTTTAATGTTTACAATATCTTAATCTGTGTAGCCTTGAGCCTTAATCAATAATGCTTCTGTATTTTAATAGCAAAATGGATACAATAAGCACTAACGAAAGTATGAATTATGAATACCAAGTAATATATATACGTGTTAAAAAAATTTCTAGCATTTTTGGTATGGATATACCTTTTAAAAAAAAATCTATGTAACATGATACATAATGCATTATTTAGTCGGACGTAAATCATCAAAGGGCACTTATTAATCACCATAGTGTTCTTGAAACCTAGTAACCTACTATATCTAGTTCTACATTGTAATATCAATTTGGAGACTATATTACACTATATTACTAAATAGCTCAAAACATGTCATACTAAGTCAAAAACTCAATCTCTAAACACGACTAATTTTTTAGCACCATTTTTTAATAGGGAGATGATGAACAACCTTCAGGTACGGATGTTTTTTTAAATTAGACTTTAAAATGAATCGATAAAAAAAATTATAGGTTTGAGTTTTCCGAACCTACATGGACACTACTTTGAGAAATATTTTCAAGTGAATACTATTTTAGTAATTTCTTTATTTTTGAACACTAATTCGGCAAATCGTTCTTGAGAAAGAAGAAAAGATATTCATTTTTTTTTTTTTTGAACGGGAAGAAAAGATGATCATGGAAAACAATTTAATCACAATTTTTTTCTTGAAAGATTTTAAAACACGATTTAATGATGATTAAAATGTGACAAAAGTAATGGACTAAGTCAATATTTTCATAAATCTCAACAATAAAGATTGCTTCATATCATTCCTCAAACAAGATAAGAAAACAAGCTACATTTAGAAATAAAAAAGGAAAGAAAAAAAAAAAAGACAAGTTGGACCGAACTAGTAGTACTAGGTTAAACTATTCCTAAAATTTAATCTGTCAACGGTTAAACTTCAAAAATAACCGTGTAGCAAAAAACCGTGATAACTTTAACTAAGTCATTTTATCTCCATCTACTTCGGTTATATAAAGACTGTTTCATATCACACAAAAAATAAAAAATAAATAAACAACAACAAAAAAAAGCAAACATATTATCATTGATTTTGTTTCCAGAAACTCTGTTCCTTGTATTTTTAAACTTTTGTAAGGCCTCAAAAATTCTGTTCAATATCAGAGTTCGTGGAAGAGGGGGTTTGGTGAAATGACCCTTAAGGGTGGCACCAACCAAGCATGCGCTGCGTGCAAATACCAGCGGCGGAAGTGTGCACCGACGTGTGTTCTTGCCCCCTACTTCCCTGCTGATCAACATAAGATGTTTCTGAATGTTCACAAACTCTTCGGAGTTATGAAAATTCAGAAACTACTACATGTGCTACCCCCAAGCACACATGGTGAAGCAATGGCATCCATCATTCACCACGCAGATATACGGGATCGTTATCCGGTGCATGGATGTCTTGGGGTGATTCATGCTTTGCTAAATCAAATTTGGCAGTGTCAGGCAGAGCTTTTTGATGTTCAGTCCATGCTAAAGGTATTCCGCCAGCAACATGAACAGCAGCAACAGGTGCCATCAGATGGTGTTCCGAAGGAAGACTTTAATGGGGCGTCACAATTACAAATGGAGATGGCGAATATGGTGCCAGTTTCCCAGAGTCACTCGTACTCCAGCAGTAGTAGTCCCTGTAATCCTACTTATCTTGACGTCAAAGTTACTTCGGTGAACTCCTTGTGGAACCAACAAGGAGAAGGTAATGATAGTAACAACAGTGAGAATGAGAAAATAATGCCTGCACAGTCAAAGATGGTGGTCACTCCAGAACCACTGGCTGTTCAGAAGGAATCCTTTCAAAATTACGACATGCATCCGTATTTTGACACCATTGATGACAGACAATCATATGTTGATACTAAGGATGCATATGAATCAAGGTAACAACACTCATAGGTTTGGTTATATAACAAATTACATACTGTATAATATATTACGTATAACATTCATCATGTTAATGAGAAAAAATGCTAGAAACATTGCATATAGATTAGGAAAGAACAAATGTATGACAAAATCTATGCCAGCAGATGACAGAACTCTTTTCATTCATACTTTTCCATTCGAAGCTAATATTCTTTGTTGAATGTGTATATGCAGTTCAAAATCAATCAATCAATCATATGCAGTTCAAAATCATCGGCAAAAAAAAACAACGAAGTGCAGCTCGCGTTTTGCTAAGAATGAATTCATAAGAGCTGCTAGAACGAGATTTCAGTCCTACTAATGTCATCTAATGACATTGATAAGCCCAATTTTGATCTGAGAATATTTTTTCAGTCTTTTTCTTCTCTAGTCGGGTGAAATTTTGCAATTCTTTATTCAGTTCACACTTGAGTTATGTTGTGTATGATAAAACTATACTCATTACATTAGCAATAAATTAAATGAAATGAAAGAGTTTATGCTGTTATGAGTCATCTTCCTCCTCCTCATCTAGCATATTAACATATGGTCGCTATTTGTAAGGATATAACGACACAATAGTCATAAATTTTTTGGTAGTCAGCATATAGTAAACCATTCTACATTACTGTCATTCATACAGAAAGAATTTCGTTATTATAGTCGTTGAAGATGATATTATTCATTGGGGATCATCCTAATATCTGATGTCCCATGAACTCTCAATGTACTAAGGAACATAAGAAGTGTACTTACGACGTGTAACTAGATACTTCAAAGAAGCATGACCTATCATTATTTAAACAAGATGTCGCCTATTCTATTTCTTCAAAACTAGACGGCTAGACATATACTCTAATTGTCTAACCAACTGAATGTGTCAAAATTGGTTGAATCATACATAACATACTATTTACAAGGTTATTTATGCATTTACCCATTTTCCGTCTTGTATTTAGGGTAAATGTCATAGAAGCCGAGTGTTGTAAGATCCACAAAATGGACACTTGTGATGAAGCCAGTGGTAGGCAGCAGTTCCTTTCTTCTCACAATCATTGCATAATATGGCCTGGAGATTTTTTAAATCAATTATAATTACAGAAAGTATTAATCCAGATGGATAAGTCAAAGATTGCACCAACCTGAGTCCGGCCTACATACTCCTCTGGTATGTTCTCTTCACCTAAAAGTGCATCCAACATTCCAAATAACACCTGCATAACACCCCCCATTTTTTTAAAAAATGAAAAGAATTTGTACCCTTACATCTTCAAAATCCACTTACATCTTCAGCAAACTTAACTAAATTTTTGACAAATTCAAGTTCCTCAGAAGAGAGAAAAAAAAAAAAAAAATATATTGCTTAGGAGAGATATATACAAAGTGAAATGTTGAGTGTGGCCCAATGTGTTGGTAAAGTGTATGTGCACACACATTCTAAAAGCTTCCAAATAAATCTAGCAAGAAAGGTTAATGCTTGTTCATGATATATTTGAATTAATCTCTCCTCTTTGTTCTTTTGTTATCGTCTACTTTCCGTTTTGATTTTTTTTAGGCCAAAATTGAACTCAGCAGCACCAACTACTATAACTTGGGTGCACCTAATAGCACGACTTTTAGTGGGTATAGCCTACATCATGAACTATAAACTTGGGTGCATGAAATAACATAAATGGCACTGGAGGTGAAATAAAATACAAAAGTATATCGTCTAATCTAAATTATTTCTCCAACCTAAGCCCATATAGTTCATGAAATGACATAGGTCATCAAATGAGAAATAATATAGTAGATTATGTCATTTCATCTATGTCATCTATTGCAACAAATCTATAATTTGTGTTGTGGCTACACCCAAGCACATAGTTCATGGTGTGGGTTGCACCTGCTTAAATCATGTTGTAGGGTAGAACCAAGCTATCGTTGGTGTTGTTAAGACCACTTTTGCATTTTTTTATCTTCCTAATTTTGCTTTTATTCTTTTTATTTATTTATTTATTTTTAAACAGTAAGATACCGGGAGGAGGGGGGGGGGGATCCCCCTCCTATCACAGGAGGGGGGGATGAGGAGTCGGGGAGATGGAGGGACTAACCAAACCTCCACTCCTCACTCCTCGCTTTTATTCTTTTTATAGTAAAGAGAATACTCACTTTTAAATCTCCTTAACCCACCAAATGATCCACATTTTATTATATAATAATACTGATGTCTCTAAAATTTCTCTTCCCTACCCAAAAAGTCAAAAGAAGGACCCATTTTCCACCAATATTTTCAAATTGCTATAGTAAATGAGAAGAAGGGAATACAGGGTTGTATCATGCAAGAGATTACTTGAAGTTGGAAGCAGCTAGAGAAATGACTCTGTGAGCTTTTTAGAACATTATAGCTAGAATAAAGATAAAGGAATTTCCATAATCTTCCAATCATTTCTTCCATCCACTATCTTCAACTAGGGCATTCATTCGCAAGCATGGACATAAGAAGCCATACTCAAACTACAAGTTTTTGAACATAATATTCCTCTTTTGTATACCATCCACCATTCCACCCAATTTACTAATCCACTTTGCACAACTCCTTTATGAGGTTTTATCTTTTAGATAGTGAGTGCTATTATTGTATGATTTAACCCCTAATATTTTAGGGTTCTTGTACTCTCATGTACTATCATATAATGGATTTCCGGGTGCTTGTCATCCATGGGTTTTTTTGCCTCTATTTGAGGAATTTTTAAACGTTAAACAGTGCATAGCCATCAACTTTTTATAAAATCAACTAACAAGGCGTCAAGGCGTTCTTGTGTCCTGATTTTCACAAGGGTATGTTAGCTATATGTTACAATTAAAATATTGATTATACCCCGCATCATACACCAGTGTTATGTTTGTCAACATCGTTGCAAGTCCTTGACAGATCACGAAGCTTATTGAGGGTAAAAATATTGAAGATTTTTTTTTTACCCTTATGTTTTCTCTAGTCTAACTAGCCTGATTTCACTTTTGCACTTTACTTTACCTTCTTAACTGATTTTTGTGCACAACTTTTACAAACAGTTTTGAATGATGGTTCTTGTTAGCCAAATCCTCCTGGGATTGTGGCTTTGTTGGTGTTGTTGAAATTAAGCCCCTCGAAAGCTTCAGTAACCCCATCTTGCAATTATTCCAATTTATTAATCAGAATCATCTTCCTTTTCCCTAATTTCAGTGTTTCTAAGCTATGTTATCGCATAGCAATTACTAGTTTGAGTTGATGCGGACATTAGTTTCCTAACAATTACCTTTTACTCCAAAAGAGAACAAATTTGAAACTAAGATGTGCAGATTAATCATAAATAGCAACAAAAAAACAAAAGATTTATTAAGCATTAAAGCATATCTCAATCAACAAACTGACAGAAATTTCTAGGCTATGATGTTGCAGAAGTGATTAGAAGATTTAGGTTAAAAAAAAAGGTGGAAGTAATCTACTTAAGTTTAAAAGCTAAACAACTAAAGCTATTAATTGTTAAAGAAAATTACAAACCTGCATGTCACCGAGCGACTTGCTGCATACTGGACATGTGTAGCGTGTGCAAGTGTACTCCTGCACACCAGGTGAAATAATTCAGAATTTGTAACGTTGTTTTGGACAAATAAAAGGGTCATGGCGAGTTAACAGATTTTGGTGCCTCACATGAAATATTGAAAAAGTTTACAACTTAGAGGAATGAAAGTGTATAGAAATATGTCACTCTTGCATTTTAACGAAACTCTATAGTGGGGGTTCAACACTTAAACATAACCAGTTCTGTTATAATTATACTGTACCATTAATTTACCAACTTATATGCAAAAATGCAAAAGTTATTCTACATATATTATGCAAATAAAAGAACAAACACTTTATATGTTTTGCGTGAAAAAACAGGTTTTGGCTATTTTACTATGATTTAATTTTTATTCTAACAGACTAAAGGGCAGGCATATTATGTTAATAATGAAAATTCTAAAAACTACTATTCTTTTGTTCAGCTTGAATGTACGAATGAACAATGTGTTTTGTCACTCTCCACTAACCTTTTTGACTTTTCGTTTTTCTTATACACTGGCTAGAGTAGCTACATCAAAATTTTAATCCCGTTTTTTACTTTTGATATGTGCGACTGTGCGTAAGTCTAATAAGAAGTTTATATGAGGAAAAGAGAGTATCAATTTATCATAAATTTGATAAATTTATTGTTGGCATTCAAATTAAAGTATTCTTAATGAGTGTCCTTTTAAAAAATCATCTAAAATGTCAAAAGGAGCACAAAGGAGGCTTTTCAATACCTCAAAGCATGACGAGTGCATCAAATGACCACACGCAAGGGCTTTTACTGGATCACTTGAAGTAAACATGTCCTCATGGCATATAGGACACTTATCCTCGATACACTTCTCCCTGCATACATGTGAGGACGAAAGAGACCGGTTCATGCATGCATTACATTTCATGCAATGGAAGTAATCAATCCCCAATCCTTTTCCAAGTCGGCATAAGTTACAATAGGGGCAGTGATAGATCTCCCTGTCTAATAAATTTTGTTAGAGACATCAGAGACCACAGGTTTCATAATAATAAAGTTATAGAGTTCTCCCCGGTAAATTAACCTGTTGTCGTCAAATAATCGACAAATCTTGCAATAGTGTCTTGCCATAGAAAACTTGTTGCAGGAAGGAGTCTGGCAAGTGGGTCCAATCGGTTGAATTTCTAAGCACATCATGCACATCATTTGGGTTGTGGATTCCCTGCAGACGAGCTCAATAATTGAGGAAAGGACATTTTCATAAACAAGTGAAGGGCAAAAAATATTACAAATTACCTATCCATCAGGTGATCAGAAACCTCATCATGGCAGCGTCTGCAAGTGAAAATCTGGTTGCAACAAGCTGCGACAAGCTTGCAATTCTGCTTGTAGTGTTTGCAACCAAATATAGAGCCTCCTGTGTCTCTATATGAGGGAAATTGACCTGGAAGCCTTCCAGACTCGCTTGTAATCAAGCCATTTGAATCAGGCAGTGATTGCGCAACCCAATGGCTAAAGAATGACAGAGAACAAGCATGAATTAGATGCCACTAACATATATAATTTAGATTTTGAGATGCAATGAGGTCAATAACTTAAGAAAGCCTACTATGAGAATGCAAGAAAAATACTCTGTTCGCTTAAAGAGAAGTCAAAAGAGTAGATTCCAATTAACACAAAATATCAGCCCTATATATCTTTATTGTCACTATACAGGTCTTCATTTTAACCCTCTTTATCCTTCAAACAACCACACTTGGGTTAGGAACGGAGATTATGAACAGTAGATACAAAGACAAATGGCAAGAAAATGTGCGGGGAGGGAGACTGAGAAAGTTCAAAAGGAAAGGGTGAAGTTTTTGGGACAATTTGTTATGAAAGAATGAAATCTATTTAACAAAACCAAGCCATGCCATAGAAATATAATTTGTGCGGGATACGTTAAAAATGGCTCCAAGTAAGATTTTTGAGGATACCAAAAATCTAATATGTCCTTCCTATGGGTGTGAGTACTGGATCACTGGAATACTCATAATCCAAGTAAAGGTACAAATTAAACCTGACTATAATAGAAGGTTCTTTTCAGATATTGAAGTTTGTACAATCTAAGATAAGTGTTCATTGATCAGCAACGTAGGTATCACATACAAGGGCCATGATATTAAGAATTCAGAACCAGGGCCCAATAGGATACGAGGATCATACATAATTTACCACCAAAAGAGGATAAAGGTGACTAATTGAAACCAGATAAAGTTGTATTAAATATCTCACTGCATGGTTTAGATAAATTCTTGTGAGCTCGTCCCTTGAAAAAGCATAAGAGGGAATAAAAAGAGAAAAGTGAAGGGATGAAATAAAACCAACCTTGTCCTCAAGTCCTGCATTATTCGTGTTTTTTCTTGCAGATCCAAAGAAGAGTCCTGTGACACCTTTCTTATTGCCGCCTCTAGTTCACTCACTGAATTATTGAGATTTCCTTCTCTCTTGTGTTTCTCTGTTTCACCAAAGAGCACTATATTTTCAGAAGATTTGTGCTTCTTGTTTTCCTTATCAAGACCTTCCATTTTCTTAACCATGTTGATGGTGCTGGCCTCGTCGTAAGGAAACTTCACATTTCCAATTTTCGAGTTTTTCCCTCGGTCAGAAACACCCATAGATGAATGCTTCGCGACAAGATCTATGGAGCCCATTGCTGATGAACCAGGAATTTCTGGTTTCTCTACCTCAGCACAAACATAGCTCTCCATTCCTTCCCACCATTCTCCTAACCACTCATCAAACTTTGTATATTTTGTAGCTTTGCGCCAGTAGTTCATCATAGCCTGTTGCTCTTCTGATGTTAAACAGGCCATAAGCCATACTATCATTTTTTGCAAAATCTCTGCCCGTGTTCTTCCAAGCATGTACCCTACAATTTTTTCCTGTTCTTCAGTGGAGAAATACTCTCTAAATAAAGGCCAAAGTTCAATCTCTTCCCGATGAATGTGATCATTTAATATCCTCTCCAGCAATTTGCAGCTATCTTGGAGTTTTAAACACAATTGACGATACTCTACACACGCTGGACCTACTTCATTATTAGAACCAGAAAGTGTATCATACAATTCAGACATCTGATCCAAAATTCCTGAAACTCTATTAAAGCAATCATCTTCCAGTTTGTGGTCAAGTGAATAAGACTGTGTAAGATTTTGGACCTTTTGCTTAGCCTCCAGAGCTGGAAATGCAACCTGATCCTCGGTTTCACTATGAAGCTCATACAAAGATCGTACTAGACGGAAGTGTCGATTAAACTCCACAAAAAATTCTAGGTTTTTATATAGCTTATTCGAGTCAAGAACTAGGGACTCAAGGTCTTTTTTTATAGCTTTGTGGAAATAATAGATGTGGTCCATTGGCCGTGGTTCCCGGTGATTAACAGAAACTGCTTCAAGGGGAGATCCAGAAATGTTATACACCTGATTTAAAGCTCGTGAAGAAAACACGAGCAAATTAATGCCACTAGAGTACAATGTCCCATGCTTCTCAGTTTGCTGGAAAGACTTGCTTAAAGAATGGGGAAAAAAGTTGGAGCTGTTAACAGAGATATGATTGGTTGTGGCATGCTGTAATTTGTTTTCGGGATCTTCACTCTGTCTAAACTGCTCAAACATGTAAGATACTCTACTACTGAACATCTCCTGTAAATCTTTTATAGTAAATTTGGCTGAGTAACCTATGCAGATCCACCTATGTAAAAGGGATGCAAAAGGTTCAGCAAAAAAACCAGATTGCTTAATTCCATGTAAAATACAATTCAACTTATCCTTGGGCAAATGAGAAGAAAACCAAGTAGTCACACACTTTAACAGGCCAAGGGGCAGCATACAAAGACTTCTGAAGATTAATTTCTGTTGGGTTTCATAGTCATAGTTCTTGCTGATGACAGGAAAAACCTGAACAAGCAGTGAGACAGGAACGATCATTGTTTAGTTTCTATTTTCAACTGCTGAAATTCTAAAAATATTAGTCAGTATAACTTAACAATTTCAGGCATACATGAAGTGCATAAATATATACCTTTGTTTCTTGGAAAGACAAGTGCTTACTAGTCACCAACACTAGATCCTCCATCTTATTACACATCATCTCAAAAAATCTTGGATTGGCAAAATTAATCTGAGTAGCATTGAATATGATCTTCTGAAATCCTTCAATTTCATTTTTGCAAGGAAATGCTTTATATGAGGACGATGTAGGATGTACAGAGATGTCTTCTAGCAAAGGATAAAAGATTCTTTCCAATGCATCACTGCAGATATAAATTATGTTTTCATGAAATAATTACCAGAAAAAAGGTCTAATAAGAACTCAATTGGTTCCAAATATATTTGAAAGTAGTTACCTATAAAAAATCAGCACATCTGTTAGGAAGTTGATCCGAACAAGCAATGACGACAATCTTGAGGATTCCTCCGATCCAATTTTATATAATTTGTCCAGAATTTCTTTGAAGTCAGATCTAATGGCAGCATGCCAAAGAGGAAGGCCATCAAATGGGCTATCCTTAAGAACTGACAGCAACTCCGACTGACAACTTTTATCAAAAGAGGTTTTGAGCAAGCTGTCCCTCAAATCATCCACTTCATCAGGACAGTCCTGAGATGATGCGTCATAATTTATGCAACCTCCTGAAGATGGTTGAGTAGTCTTATCAATCCAGGAAATCATTACCTTCAGAGAATGATTTCTATCATTAGAGTCAGAAAGTATTTAAATAGGAGGTACAGTTCAGTGAGAAATATACTTCTTGTAGCATTTTATCTTGGGGCACAATTTTTTTCATGGTATGTTTCAGATCGAATTGTTCTTCTGGAGCAAGAAAACAAGCTAACCACGGAAAAAGGTCCTCCATGAGCACCACAGGGACGCTACACATTAGTTGCCAAAGGAGGAAACCTTGCTCTTCATCAGAAAATTGGCTTACTAGTAGAGGGAACACCTGCCGTAAGAGTGGTGAGTTACGGTATACAGGTATAGTGGTAAACGTAAGCTGAGAAACATCATTATGCAATGTACATGAGTGAATGCAAGCATGCAACTTGAAAAAAATGTTATTTTTATCCATTCACATGATTGGTCTCTCTTCAGGATGAATTTTTTTATGGCATCTCATCAAACCATTTATGACATCAATTCTAAAATCAACAGGAACTTAAAGAGAGAGGAGGCAGGGGAGAATGGTCCATTCCAGTACTTAGTGTCCATATAAAATCTAATATATATTGGAATGCCATAGTTAATATTTCCTCCATTCCTTTAATACTACGACATTGTCATAGTGCACAAGAGAGGGAAAGACAATATTACAAACTTGTCTATGTGGTTGCAAACATTAACTAAAGAAACAAGTAATAAAAAATAAGAGTATATTGGTATTTGCAGTGTGAAAAGACATACTTATTTTCTTTGAAAGAGTACGTTGCAATATTTGTAAAAATTCCTAAAGAGGTAAATGTAGTAATATTAAAGTATCTGTTGGATCCATGGCCCAAACCTTGGCCCTTTGTGCTCTAGAAGTTTCCGAAAAAATCAAGGTTAGGATTTTGTATCATGCAAACTATTTGAACATTCTAGAGATCAAACTTGAAATTGGAAAATAAAAGCAATCATGGTTTATGAAATTTCTAGAGCATTATAGCTCCAAGAATGATGAAGGAAGATCTTCAACCTTTTAGCCATTGCTTTTAACCACCATTTGGGTATTTGTTCAATGTTTTTATAGTGGTCGTTTGAAATATGACTACCATAGTATTCTAATAATAAAACAATATGATCGGTTCATTTTTTCACACTATAATATGAACACAATTAGTCTTTTAATATTCACAATGCAAATATATTCTTTGAAAATTTTAATCCAACATATATATATATATATATATATATATATATATATATATATAATTCGAGAAATAAAAAATTACATAAATGAAACTAAAAATAACATAAAAAAAAATGTTGATGATACTATTTTTTTACCAAAAATAAAGAAATATACTCTATTACTTGAATAAAAATAAGTCAGTCATATTCCAATCGACCACTATAAAATATTCAGTATTTTGTCGGGAAAGTGTATTTTTGTATTGGGTTGTGAAATTTCGTGAGGATACTCTTCATTGTATCAAGAGAGTGCAAATGGTTCTAGAGTGCGAGTGAGATTACTACAGGGAATCTGAATTTGGGATTCAAATTGGAAAAATTACTAGTGCTTGCTAGGTTATGGTAGACAGGTCCAATGGTAATAGGTTGTAACTATAAGTTAGAAGTTTTGGCCTTTGTAATGAAAATGTTTATTTAAGAAAATCCCTAGGGGATTAGAAGGGTCGAAAGGTTCCTCGTGAAATCCACTTTGACTGTTTAAGTTCCTTTCAACCCTTTCTGTTTTGTTTTGTTTTTTTTTTTTTTTTTTTTTTTCCCCGCAAAAATTAGGCACTACGGAACATCCTACAATTCACCCCTCATGTATTGTATCATGCAAATAACAATATTTCTTTCGGTATCCACACATATAATACAAGTCTAACATAATCTGCAAATCCTCCTTATACAACCTCATCTTCTTATCCTTTATTTCCTTTTGTATTACCCAAGTTTGTGTGTGGCCACCTTAGTTCATAATAGCACATTTATTCATTGATGTGTGTAACCTCTGATATAAACTATTCATTATACCAGTAACATTAATTAATTAAATTAAAAACTTTAGTTATGGTTTAACTATTTAAAAAACTAATGCCTCTCATTTATAAGAGTACCCATTTCTTCATTGGAGTAACCCATCCATCTCCATAATCCCATTTGATCATCATTATAATCTTATTACTCAATTCATTGTCTTATGTGAAGTGGTCCCTAGAAAAGAAAAGATGGATCCACGAATACGTTATTAAAGAAAAGAATAAAGAATTAGAGAAATTGGGGAAGATGAAAGAGAAAAAATGGAACATGATGCGCATTTTGGGAAATAGAGAAAACAAATTCACAACTTAAAAGCATGATGAGATGATTCATGATGTTTTTATTTTTAGATTTTTCTATAATCGTCGTTTATGGTTTTTTTTTTAATCTATATAGAGGTTATTTCTCACTCTTTGTCCAAAGTAATTATCTTATCAAATATTTTGGGAATTAGAACTAGATAAAATTTTGAAAAGATGACATGCAATAAATATAGACTTTTAAAATTGTGTGTTATGAGTTCAGATAGTTATTGACATCATATTATCCATGTAATTGTGCAATTATATAGAATGCTTAGGTAAATTTAACAACATAAATGAATTACTAATACTACCCCCGTTAATAAAAAAACCCCTTTGTTGCAACTAAAAGTAGGTAGTAGTTAAGATTACTGCATGTATGAAAATATAATAAATGTTTTTTTTTTTTTGGTGTTTAGAGAGCCACAAGGGCAGGAGTGAAAATCGATTCCAGAATCTCCTGAACTGGGAGGGATGCTCTAACCACTTGAGTTATCCCTCACTCTCATAATAAATGTTAATATATAGTTAGTTCTAAAATAGTTGAAATGTATAAAAGTGAAAAATTGAAAGTATCTAAATCATAATCCAATAGACTTTTAACAATATAGAATAATATAGAAAGATGAAAGAGGTTAAAGTAATGAAAACGTGCTATTTTAGATGCAATAGGTTAAAAATGAAAGTTTTCTTTTACAATGGATACTGTCAAATTTTATACCTGTTGTTCTTCTTTCAACATATGCTGACAAATTGACCCTTGTAGAGTGCTAATGTGAAAGGTAAGTTCTTGGAATTCTTGACATGAATTCTCATGGTTCTCCAAAATGCCATTTAGACGGGAAAAAATTGATTCAAAAATAGAATCAATTATATGGTGTTCTAAGTAATATGTACAAGCAATGTTTTTCACACGTGCATCCAAAGCAAAAAATATAACCTGTTGGAAAATAGTAAAGATCAATAATATTTTGAGCTCAAAGACATTTTAAGTACAAAACACAAACAAAATCTTTACAAAATTTTAATAGCATATTCTCGGTAACAAAATCTTTACACAAACAAAACCATATAATTGATTCTATTTTTGAATCAATACATTAGTATATTATGTATTCATTTAATCCAATTTAATAGATGGATTCATCCTTCATCATTTAAATAGACAAAGTTCCCACCAATAAGATGTTCTTGTAAATTAAATCTTCTTATCAATAAGAAGCCAATAGGTCAAATTCAGTATTAACAAGCACATTACTTGGCCTAAAAAATCATTTATCAAACCCACCTAACATATTCTCCTAATGACTTGGAATTTATTTAAGTCTTTTCAAGTTAAACTGTTTAAAAAATAATTGCAACAAATAATCTTAGCATTACAAATTTTTTAGGGCATACAAAACAATTTTGGGATACATGGCAACTAAGTTCACGGTTATGCCACACCGAGGCAATATTTTCCACCTTAATTTTCATGCCAAATGAAAATACAACAATTAACAAGAAACAAGGGAAAATCTGATTTTACTACATACACCTTAATCTACTTATTAGATTTTTATTTTTTATTTTTTTGGGGGGAAATCTACTTATTAGATGGCAGGATAGAATTTTGGGATATAATAAATGCATCATTATACTTGTAAATTGCATTACTACTACACCTTGAAAAAAATATGATTTTGTGTGGGTAAATGGAGATATCAATTACAATCACTCCTTAAAATAGTGTGTATTTATACACACCTCTTACCTATGTTTAAGTTATTGAGATTAATTGGTTCGTTACCTACTGAAATCCCTCTCTCAAATTTTGCTCCAAGCTTGATATTACGAAACAGATGAAGTATCATGAAATTATTGAAATCTAATACGAAGTAGCTATACACACTTTCTCTATCGAAAAAATTTGATTTCAATCAAACAACTTACTCTCCCACTCTCCCCACAATTCAATCAAATTAAACAATTCTACCCCTATTTCATCCCAAATTGCATTGCTAACAAAATCGAGCTAAAATTAGGAATAAGAGAGAAAATTAAAAGGTGAATTATACCTCATCTTCAGCAGCACAGTGATACCAAAACACAGTCCTGAAGAACTCAAGCCGCCGCCTAAGTTCAACCGCCGCCGTTTTCCGGCGACGCTTATCACACTCGTCGCCGTCGCCGGCGGGGGAGACGGCGTCTTCAGCGATACGCACAAGCTCGCCAAGCTCACCTCTAAACGCTTTATGAAAGAACACCAGAACTCGTATCGGAGAACCGGAGCTCCGGTCGCCGGAGAAATTTTCCGGCGACGGCGAAGAGGAGGATTCTTCACCTCCCATGCGCTGTGAAAGAAGAAAGAGAAAGGCATGAAATAGGGAAGGAAGATGTTCATATACTAGTAGCTAGCTACTTTGGAGAGAGAAAATAATAACCTCTACTAAAGTTTTTTAATTTTTGATTTTTGATTTTTGATTTTTTTGAATATTAAATTTGTTTTGTTTGTCTCGTTTCTGTTACAGATTTTGCAGATTAATTAAGTTTAAGTCGTAATGAATTAATTAAATTGGGGGTTGTAATTAAAGAGAGAATGAAGACATTAGATGTCGTTTAGTGTTATAATTGTAGGTGATGATGAATGATTAAGACGTGGCTTTATATGACTGCCCGCTGCCCGGAAGTCTACGGTTGACTAATTGTGGCTTTGACACTTTGTTGCGTTGGCGAGGTGGCATTGTGTTATTTAAGTAACTACCGAATTTTCTTTTGGTAATGGAGTTAGTTACAAGTGTAATACGAGTACTTGTTAGGCGTCTGTCACTCCACCTTATTTTTGTTCACAAAATTTTATTGTGGCTGGTCACATCATGTGGTCGGCTTTATTTTGTCAGGAGTTACTTGGTCGGTCAGGTGTTACTCGATCAGGAGTTACTTGGTTAGGAGTTATTCGATCAATTAGGGGTTACACGGTCGGTTAGGGGTTACTCAATTAGTCAGGGATTACTCGATTGGCCAGGGTTTATCCGGTCAGTGTTTTGATGTGTGTCAACCGGTCATACAGTGTGGCCAGCCATACAGATAATGAGCTGATTTTTGTTGAATTGAAATTATTTTTGCTGAATTAAAATTATTTTTGTTGAATTAAAATTATTTTTGTCGAACTAAAATTAATTTTACTGATTTCCTATAATATTTCCTCTTTAAAGTACTAATTTTTACTGGACTGAACTTATTTTTACTAAACTAAAATTAATTTACTAAGCTAAACTTATTTTTATTGAATTGAAATTATTTTTATATTTTACTTTATTTTTTTAAGGTGAATTGAAGTGAACCAGGCCTTATCTCAAAAACATATTATCATTGTTCAAATTTGACCATATTTTTTTTTTAATTTTTTTTATTATTATTTTTTTTTTGATAAAACAAATTTGACCAAATTGTTTAAAGGTTATGCTCCCAATTTGTGTAAAATAATTGCCTTAGTTTTTAACCGACATATGTGTTAATGCGGTTCATATTATTTGCAACTATTGGGTAATATATATTTGTGAGGTATAAAATATTCAGAAGTTGCAAATAATATGAAACGGGGTAGTACAAAAAAGCCAGTATTAAAAAACGGGGTTAAGCATAGTAAAACTTAATTTCTAATAAGTGAAACACATTCATTTACCAAAAAAAATGTTGAAGAAAAAACCCATATACTATGTATATATTATATATAATTTATTTATTTATTTTTATTTTTATTTTTTTAAATGATATATATGTGGTCAAAATAAAATTTGAAAGAAGTATAGAGGAAGGTACGGACTGATATCATCCTGTATTAATTGACATACAAAAATTAGACTTTGAGCAATAAATATAAGGTTAAAATTTATAAATTGCTCATTTAATTTATTTTTCTCCTCTAAAACATCACGTATGTAAGAAGAAAATTCCTGGTTTCACGCTACTTATTTAATTTTCATGTACACAATCGGAAGTGGACACATTATTTTGATAAAATAGTTGGCAATTTTCATCATAAAATCTCTAAGGCAGGCATCCAACAACTTATGATTTATAGTTTTTAGTATTGCACATGAGCACATCTTACGTAAACGTAGTCTTACATGATGTGGAATTCACTACATATATACCATTATAATATATAGAATAATTTTAATCAATTTATTTAGTTTATCCACACCGATGAGATCTTAGCTTAGGAGTTAAGGCTGAAAGTCGTAAATTAAGTTGTGTTTAAAACTTTAAATCCCCGCCCTATTTGTAATGTGTATTATTATCTCTATAAGATTGTGACTCATTTAGACAAAAAATAAATTATAATTAAGCTGCGCTATTAAGCTACTAAACTATAACTTTACGAAAAACTCAATGACTTCATTTATTCATTCATGTAACCCCTCTTTATTTCGTTTTGCATGACTATTACAAATATAATTCTACTTATTATAAGAGCAATTCCAATTTCCATTTTTTTGAGGGAAGCTAAGGGGCATCCCATTCCATATGAGTTGCACGGTCTTATACCCATCCATTAGGTGAAACTCATTTTATCATCGTTGTAAACCCTGATACTCAATTAATTATCTTATATGTGAAGTGATCATAACATCAATCAATGATCTATGTAACTGACCATATAAAAATTTATGTAGGTGAAATTAAACTAATTGTTTTTCCTTTTAGTCATTATATATATTAATAGTAGTCATGAAAAATTGTGTTAGGCAGGAGCTAGACACGTGCTATACTCATGCCTACACGTTCCAAGCTAAACTAACTTCATCTCTACACTAAGCATGATTTATTAATAATTAATTAAACATCCACCTTTCAACATCATAAAGAGTTGCCTCCAATCATCCATCATGGGTTGTTTGATTATAAGAATAAAAGTTTAATTATATCACTATCAGTAGATTTTATTTTATTAATTTATAGTAATACTTTAGTTTATTTTGAAGAAGTACGGATTATTTGGCACTCGTAAGAAATTAGAGTGGCTGCACTAAAAATGTGTTTGTAAGTGACTCATAAACAGTATATTCGAAGTTTAGAAATTGAACCATGGAATATTTCAGTAATTAAGATTATTTTGTGTATATGAAATTATTTGGACTGTAAAAAATTGTAATAGGGTTGCCAACTTTCCTAGGATCTATGGCTTATTATATGTCTACTTGTTGATTCAATGTATTTCTATATGCTAGTGTACTGCTAGCAATATAAGCATGTTAGGTTATTCAACTTGCACCTCGTCGGAGTGGTCGTGGACTCGTGGTTTGCTTGTGCTGAGGAATGCTAATATTCCCTTCGTCGAATTAGAGGTGATCAAAATGAGTCTGATTTGATTTTGAGCGAGCTATGGAGTATGGACATTAAAATTTGGCCCGAAAATATTTATTTTTGGGTGGGGCCATGAACAAGCATTTTTTTTTACCCGGTTATAATTTATGGGTTTGGGCATTTCGGCCTAAACCTTAGCCAGACTTATCGGGTTGGTTTTTTGGCCTTTTACCCAGCCCATGGTCACATCTAATCTTGGATATAATATAGCTTAGAGCTGATTGTCAACAACCCTAGCCTACAGTATACGAAGTATAAAGTAGTAAGAACTAGGAAGTGTGGGTTTGCACAGCTCAACAATGCATTTTCATGCCAAAATCTTAACTTGAAACAAAAATTTCTACAATGGCCGAAAAAACCTAAACCTATTACATATTAGGAATTTGAGCATAAATTTTATTTACCAAAGCTGGACCCAATGTTTGGTCAGGTCTTTTTTTCTTAAACAAAGATTGATTCATAAATAAAAGTCATACGACATCTACAAAGAGATTAATTTTTAATAATTACATGATAATTGAATCAAATAAAAACACTCTTTCACCAAATTTACGATCGTTGTTGCAAATTGTACATTCTTCATATCCTCTTTCACATCGCTATGATTTACAGCCTTTTTCAACGAGGGGGTCTATCGATCTGTTGTAGCCATGAAGAAAATTTTCGTCTGATTCGTCTTGTTGTAATAGAATGATTAACCTCTTTTTCGATCCCGCACAAATCTTTACCCATGAAACAACTTTACAGCAATCCATCAAATTAAAAAGCAAATCTTCCCTCAAAAGAGAGAAGAAAAACCTTGTCTTTCAAAGGAGAAAAATCCTCCTAAAGAAGAAGAAAAACCCTTTCTTTCGAGGGAGAAACGTTTCTCCTAGAATAGGAAGAATTATTATAAACCTAAAACAAATAAAATAAAGAGAAAAGGAACACAAAAACAAAGAGTTGGGGCTTTCCACCGGTAAAAATCGATGAAAGCCCCTCCAAAATTTAACAATGGAGGCTAGGGTTTTTAGAGAGAGAAGAGAGGAAAAGTGGTGATTATATTTATCTGTTTGGTCAGGTCTAGTATCCTTTTATATTAATATATTTGCTTAATTTATAATAATTACGAAATATTATTTTGAAAAACGCATGCTTAATCAACAGAATTACAAAGTAATGTTCAATTAAAAAAATACTAAAGGTATTGTTTGGTTGACAAAGGAATTAATTTCCTATGGACATTTGTATTTCATGGGAATTAAAATCCCACATCAAATTTCCTAAGAATTAACTAAACTTGTTTGGTTGTTATACGGAACTATCAAATCATGAGAATTTTGAGTGATCAAGGAGGAGTTTGGTTATTAAATTCCCATGTTTTGTGGGAATTGAAAATTCTCATAATTTTACACTTCCCAGTTTCCACATTCTCATTTTTTATGGTTTATCAAACAAGCCCCTTGTTTTCAAATTGAGAATTTTTAATTTCTCCATTTTTTATGTGCAACCAAACAACACCTTATAAAGTTATACGTAGTATTTGTTCTTATATAATACTCTGTACATCTACTTCCTACAAATCAATTCAGAAAGCTATATATATTGGAGCAAATTGCTACACTGAATTTTAAATTACAGCGAAAATCTGAAAGAAAGCCAATTCAGAGGAAAATAATCATACCTTGCATCAAGGATATACGAAGTAAGATGCAATAAGGCCTATAACAGTATATACGGCAAGTCGGCAATACTTTTACATCAAAGGTTAATAAGTAACATTATACATTTACTGGTAAATTAGCCAGTAACAAGCAAAAGTCAAAAAACAAAGTAAAGTTAGTGTGTATGTTAAGTGTAAAGTAGAGCATAATACCACAAATTTCACTTGTCTTTTGTATTTATTAGCAAATTCTTCCACTAAAATGTTATCGTATTAGTACTCAGCACGACGATGCTAGAGAGCACCCTCATAAAAGTGCAGACAATCTTTTGAGAGCGGATCTTTTCAACCCTGTCAGAACACAAAAAGAGTTTCTACCCTAGGCCAGTATGAAGCAATAAGCTTCGCATGAACAACTATACACAAACAAAAGCATACCTACAAGGCCGACCCTTAACCAGTGCAACCTGTGCCACTGCACAAGGCCCATAAACTGATAGGGTATAGTAATTTAGAGAATCAAGGGTAGTAGTGATGAAAGCTTGAAGCTTATGCATTTAATCGATGTTCTAAATTTTAGCCCTGCCCTGTTGCCTAAGAAATTCCACAGCAAAAGGCAATCTGCACTTATCAGCACCGCTTCCTGAGGTTTGAAGGATCAATCATTAGCAGTTAAAGGAAAAGGCAACCTTGCCCTGATTGACGGATGGTACAAAGAGAAGCCCTTGTAAAAACTTGTAACATGATGGAAAAGAGAACCAGATCCAAAGTATATTACTGTATAATTTAATTAGCTTCACACAGAACGGTGTAAATTTTTTATCACAACAGACTGATAAAATGCTCTTGTTCGGAAGAACAATGTCAGAGCAACAAGAAACCCAAGAAAGCTAACAAATGCCAATATAACGAAGGATTCCATGAAGCAGTGAACCCCATAGCACGAACGGCCTCCCCCTGCTTCTTTGTCATATATATGTCCAATCACCCAGACGGAGAGAATGTAAGTTCCTACAGGACTTGCTATTGCAATGGTATTAAAAATGGTACCCATATGCAGAATGCCGAATATCTCTGAAGTAATCGTGGGCATTAAACTCCATTGGGCTCCATAACAAATCCCAACCAAGACAGTTCCTATGTACAAATTACCACTAAAACCAGAACCAATTGTGATGTGCCCGGCAGTCATAGTTGCTAGAGTGATTGCCATCAGTAATGGCCTTGGCCATCCTTTTCCGCGTAATAAGATATCAGATACGTAACCTCCTCCAAAACGGCCAAGGAAATTCCATATAGACCACAATGAAACCAATGAATTGATCTTTACTGTATCATAACCAAGAGATTGTCCTATTTGGCTCATGTTATTTATAGTGGCAAGCCCTGATCCCATTCCACATGACATAGCAACGAATAATAACCAGAAATTCAAGCTTTTCATTGCCGCCCACAGATTCATGCTTTCTGCAGCTGGAGGAACTTCATTGGAAGTACCAGGTAATTCATCATAACCTCCATATTTCTGGCCCAAAATTTTCTCGGGTTCATTTGGATCAATTCCATAGACTAGTGGGTCCCTTTCTGCTGGTAGTGCATCAGCATTTTCCTTGCCAAAAGCTTCTACAGAAATTTTAAGAGGCGAAGAAAGCAAAATCAAGAGACCAACAAGAGTAACAATGTGTGCCCATTTTGGGAACACGAAAATGTTCTCCAATATGATGATGAACATCAGGTAAGCAGCTAGAGTGAGGGCAACTATAGAATAATTATTCAAGTATTTCTTGTCATCAACTTTGCTTCCCGGGCAAATTCTGACCAAAAACATTAGTGAGAGAGAGACTATACTCGGCAAGAATGCAAGCAGTAGGATGAATGTGCTTGGACTTCCTTTGAAAAATGTTTGATAAACTTGTATTAGAATTGCTCCACTCAGTCCAAGAAAACCCTGACAATAAGAATCAAGAAAGGACAGAATTACAGTCACATTACATTTAAAGGTTTTCAAACATCAGGTACATGCTTTTCACTGCTTTGGGTCATATACAAGCATTCCATATTAATCTTCAGAGAGGTACTAAGTTTTCCACAGATATGCCAAGATATTGACAAACAGACAGAGAAACTAACGGTATCAAAACACAATAAAGTGTACCAATAAGACGGGGTCTCGAACTGAGTAATAACATAGCTTCATGAGGCATACTCAGTTCCCCAGATGCCAGAAACGATATTATGATCTACATAACTATGCTGGACAGAAACCCCAAAGAGTGAATTGTTTATAAAAAAAGTGAAGAATGCTTGCATTGGTAACATGTCCACAAAACTATGCTGGACAGAATTCCCAAGGAATGAAATGCTTATTACACATAAAGAATGCTTGCATTTGATATGCATATCTCATGGACACACAAACACACACACACACAGCAATCTAGTTTTCCAACCTGAGCTAGAAGACCTAGAACTGTAGGCCATTTTTTGGTTCTCCAGGGTTAAATTACCCAATAAATTCTCAGAATAGTGGAGCGACATATATCTTTGATGCATATTGCATTATTGACAATTTGACATATTCATTCCTAGTTTCTTTTTCAATCATCACAGGAAATTATAATTATAATTCATAAGTCCCAACATGCCTCAAAAAACACCTAAAATAAGCCATAAGAAAGAAAGTATAGAGCATAAAGCCCCGAAAACACAATGCTGAGGTTCACACTGCTTTCATATAATTGCAACATTCATTTGCAGTCACGAGATTTATGACCAACCTCTAAATCAACAAATTAAAAGTAAATGAACTTTTCGATTGAAGTCCCACTAAACCAATATAACATGTCCAAGCGTTAAGATTTCCACTCCCAAAAGCTTGGTCTACCCATGTACATCTACTCCCTAAATTGAGTAATTTAGAACTTAGCTTAACTAAACATGTCCAAACTCAACAAACTTACAAAACCTATTCAAAGCAAAATTAGAGAACCTAAATTGACCTTACACTTAACAACAAACCCCGGCCCTTCAGATATACACAATTAATTAACATGATATTCAACAATCAATTAATACATAATGAAAACTTTGATCAAAGGCCAATCAAGCTAAAATTAAACAATGTCATCTACTTCCAACCTTCCATGTTAAAAATGACTACATCCATAAGCCACACAAAAATTCAAAGCATTACTAATAAAAATGTGAACTTCACTTAGCTAAATAAAACTCCAAAGCCTTAGCTACTCAATAAATTTAAGACAATTGATTCAAACACATTTAAGTTGTAGTTGCCATCTATTTAACGATTTGCCAAACAACCAATTCAACTCCAAACTCATAGATACCAAATACATTAGTTAGTTCAAGTATTAAGAGCTCTACTTAGACTCAACACAACCCACCTCCGTTTCACATTTTGACTTTTTGTAATACTCCACTCAAACTATATTGTCTATATATACTTTTCAAAATGCCAACATTTTATAACGTACTAGTCCATTATTAATTAAAGGATCAAATCAACTAAAAGCAACAAATAGTTAAAACCCAAGATTGGCAGATAATATAGTCAAAAATCCGCAAATGACAAGTGTAAAAGTCGAAATTCCGCATAAAAAAAAGTGAAATGAGCAGTAAGAAAGTACAAACCTTCATAATGCCAACAATGGTGCCTTTATAATCATGAAAATTCTCAACACCAGTGACAACATTAGCCGTATTAAAGAAAGTCTGAGCATGAGCAGCCAAAAACATAAACCCACACATAACCGGTACAGGAGGCGGCGCAATGAACCCAACAACGGCGAGCCACATAAACAAATACCCAACAAAACACTGCGCCGCCCCGACAGCGTGGACCACCCATGGCCCACCAAGACAGCACCGTCGACGGCGGGTTAAGACGGCGGCGTAGAGTAATCCGGAGAGAACGCCGGCGTTAGCGCCGATGTCTTTGAAAACGGAGATGGTGTCGAGTGTTGATTGGTCATAAGATTGGGAGGATTTGAGTGCGGGTGAGTATATGCTAAATGCGTAGGACCCACCTGTTGTTGCTTGTATCCATATGCTTGATGCTGTTGATGTCCATCTGTTGTTCATCAAAGTGGTTGCCATGGAAATTGATTTTGATTATTATGAATTTATGATTATGATGATGTTTTTTTTTTTGGGTCTTGATTTTCGGGAGAGGAATAATTATAGTTGATCGACTATTAGGTGGATGGATAATGGTTTGTATAGTTGGACTGAGGATAGTTGGATAATAAACACGTAGGTTTCTTGCCTTCTTGCCTCTTTAATCTTAAGCACAATTTATTACTTCTTCCGTTTCTTTTTAGTTGACACTTTTCTTTAGTCACGTTTGCCAACGCATAAATTCAATCGTTAATATCTTTAATTATCGATGACCAAAAATTATTATATTTTGAAAATATACATCGTGATGAATCTAACAAGACCCCACATGACTATATTTTTCATTATGTATAAATCACAAAACACGGTCAAAGTGAAGTGTGTGAATGGTGCTAAAGTCAAAATGTGTCAACTAAAAAAAACGGAGGTCATATTTACTCCCTCTGTCCCATAATACATGACACAGTCAAACATTGCATACATGTCAATGCATTAGTTTGACTTAATTTTATATAATTAAATATTAATGAAAATTATTTTAAAAATTATACTATATATTAAAACCTATCTAACAACATATTTTATGATAATATATATTTTTATTATGTTAATAAAAAATTATGGTTAAACCTAATGCATGAATAGTGAAAAAAAAGTCCAACGTCTCATGTATTATGAGACGGGAGGAGTACTACAAAGTACTTCCTTGCCCGAGTGCGCTCGAATGTGTATTCACAAGAGAAAAAAAATATTTTTATAAATTATTGTAAGTTTGTGTTCACCATTTTTTTTATCATGTTATTTTTTAAAAGAAAAAAAATAAAAAGTTATTTGGCGGAAAATTTTTGTCATGATACAATACGTGTATTTTCAGGATAACTATAGTGATTATCTTAATATATAGTATATTGATTTTAATTTTATTATTTATCATTTTTTTTCTTGAGTTTGAGCCCTAGGGATCTAATAAGATGTTACCTATCTTAGATGATATTAATATTGGTATTGGTATTGATATTAATATCACCCAAGATAGGCATGGGGGTGTTTGACAATTGGCTCTTTGCCTAGCTTTTGGCTTTTAGCTTTTTAGTTTGGTCAAACAATAAAAAAAGATGTTTGGTAGTTGGTTTTTTTGTTGGCTTTTAAGCTGGCTTTTCCGCCAAAAGCCAAAAGCTAATAGGAGTAGCTTTTTTATTGGCTTTTGGCTTGTTGGCCCACTTCGTCACGAATAAACAGCTAACAACCATTAATAATTTTACCAAATACTTTTGTAAACAACCAGCTTAAATAACTAAATTAAAAAGTCAATCCATACAGCTAATACTTCCAGCTAGTCAAACAAGCTAACAGCTAACAGCCAACAGCCAATCGCCGATTGCCAACAACCCCATGATATTGATATATGTTATGATATTCTTCGAATTATAGTTACATTAAAAAAAAAAGAGTAAAAGATGAAATGAATATGCATAATTGACCATTATGAGTTTCTGGCCAACTTAATAATCATAGATTCATCCCTGTTGAGTCTTATTTTGAATATCATCAATCAATAACTTAATACTAAAACAAATATCGGAAGTGACACATGTTACATCATGGTGTTGTTTTTCCCCTCCAAAACTTCCCTTTTCTTTTTTAACTTTTTATTTTTTTATTTTTACTTTTTTTTTTGTAACATTGTGAATATTTGATACAACTATAAAAAATATTATTTCAAATCTTTTATATTATAAAAAATTTATTCCTTTTTATTTGGTGCTCATAATTCTTCCATACACATTTATCTAAAAATATTATTCAAACTCCTTTTTATTTATCTTGTAAATAGAATATTATTAGATTTTGCCAAAAATAAAATAAAATAGTAATAATAAAATTGATTCATATAATTGATAATAAAGTAATTACTTTAAAACATCACTTAATTTATTATTTTTTTCAAATAGCTCTAATATTTTATTTCAATTTAAATATTAACTCTACACTAAAATTAATGACAATTTTGTTCCTAAGAATTTACGTATTTATTATCACAAATTTAGGACTTACGGAGTATTAGAATGACTATAAAATAAATGTTGTGTTTGACAACTGCACTATATCATATGTATAATTCTAGGGAAATGTAAAATATCAATCAATTTTTTGTAAATTACTTAATTAAAAAAAAAAGAACAATATCTTAGTAAATACAAAAAAATTATTATCTTTTGCACACTTTATTGAGGTGATAAATTTATTACATTCGACATTCATAAATAATTTGCATATTAAAAGACACGTCGGTCATAGTGACAAATGACATCTCATTCTGTATCTTTGTTTTTTTGGATAAATATTTATTATATGCAAATAAACTTTTGAGGCACCAAAAATGATCAAACTACAATTATTGGAAAGCTTCAAACATATTTTTATATAATAACAAAGAACGGCGAACGTTTTAATTTGACAAACGTTTTTTATTTTACTTTAATTTTAAAACATGAGATTATATATTAAACTTTTGCATTGCCTTTTAATATAGATTATGACAATATAATTTCTATATATTTGATGTCTATGTTTTATCAAATTCTATTTGTTAGATATAATTAAATGTTTTTTTTAAAAAAATTAGACTTACCGTGTATGGCACGGGGTCTAAGCTAGTATAAGTTTAAAAGGAAGTTTATTTGGGCCAAATTATTCATTTGTGATTCAACCATTGTTGAATATGTAAGTTTAAAAGGAAGTTTATTTTGGCCAAATTAGTCATTTTGTGATTCAACCATTGTTGTTTTTATTTGTTTTAATATGAATTAATAGCTTCAAATGGCATTGTTCCTCCATTTTTAAGCTCTGATTATGTTTTCAGTTAACAAGTTTCTTTTTGTCACACTCATCAATGCATACCATCAACTATTAATATCTTTAACCCATTAATTAAAAAAATAAACATTAAAAAGGTAGTATGATTTTTAGCTCCATTCGTTGTTGGATGATTTGGAGTTGTTTCGCTCGTGATGTTAAACTTTTAAAAACAGTTGTACTATATAAGCAATAAACACATTTTCTAAACTAAAACTATGAAAAAATCACATGTTGATCAACGTTTTTGTAATACCATCCTAAATTAATTCCAATGGTGTGAAGCCCTTGAAATGCATGGCCTTGTGTTTGTAAAATTTTGTAATTATTATAATATTAATAATAATAATAATTATTATTGTCATTATTATCATTATTTTCAATAAACTATTTTTCAAGGACACTAATTATTTTTTTAAAAAAAATTAAAAAGTAACAATTATTAGCACTTGAATGCCATTGTAAATTTGTAATTAATAAAATATTCTTTAAATTAATAATATAATAAGAAATCAATTTGTAAGCTTCAGACATACTATGCGTCTTTAATTCTCTCTCTTTTATTTTTTTTATATATTTTTTTATTTTATTTTCTCTCTCTTCACCTCTATGTAGTTTTGGTACAACCTCAGCACTACACTTGCTGTTTAGCCACAGCCAAAGAGCTTCAAAAGATGAACCCGGTGCCTCCACCAAATTCTCACTAAGCTCACTATGAACCCAGATATCTTTTGCTGCATTACAATCCAGCACAAAGTGCAAAATTGTCTCGTTAGAACAGCCACAAATCTGACAAGACGAATCTCGTGCTACATGTCTATATACCAGTCTGTCCATCACAGCTAAGTTGCCCTTCACAGCACTCCATATAAAGTGTTGAAGCTTAGGAAGGCCTCGAACTCTCCATACAAAGCGCCATACCTCCTCATCATGCACTGGATTCAGTTGCTTCAGACTACCCATTTTAGCTAGCCAGTAGCCCGATCTTACAGTGTATACTCCCAGCTTTGTACAACGCTAAAATAAGGAGTCCTCCCTGCATCTGTTTGATAACGGAGTAGAAAGCACAATAGTGCAAATGTCAGGTGGAAATAAAGTCTCAACCAAGTCCACATCCTATTCCAGGTAACCATCTCTACACAGCTCACAGACCATCATATTCACATCCCCTCCCTCGGGTCTCTCCGGGTAAACAGTTTTGCCATCATTAATCAACCAAGCATCATCCCATACTCTAATGCTTCAACCATTCCCAACACGCCAATTTAGCCCATCCCTTAACATACCTTTCGCTCCCCACATGAATCACCACGCATAACTCAGGTCATACCCTCTAAATGCTTCAAGAACCGTTGAGTTCTTGAAGTATCTTGCTTTGAGGATCTTATGGAGCAAAGACGCCTCATTATTGTGCAACCTCCAAATCTGTTTTGCTAGGATTGCTTGGTTAAAGCATTTGAGATCACGAAACCCCATACACCCTTTCGATTTCGGAAGGCACAACTTCTCCCAACTTTGCCAATGTAGCTTTTTAGCATCCTCCCTCGACCCCCACCAAAAACGGCATAAAAGATTATGAAATTCATCGATAAGACCTTCCGGGATTTTAAATATACAAATCATATACGTCAGGATGGCTTGCGCTATTGCTTTAATCAAAACTTCTTTCCCCTGCCGAGACAACAATCTCTCCTTTCACCCATTCAATTTCTTCCATATTCTCTCCTTTAAGTGAGCAAAAATGGCTTTCTTTGACCTTCCGATCATCTACTTATACATTACTTCCTAAAAATTTGTTAAAATAACAAAATAGTATAAAATAGATTGGAATTTTTGAACACTCAAAATTGTTGTCCAACAAAAGTCACAAAAAATAAACCAAGAGCAAAACATGGACCTTTACATTCCAAAGCCCACTAATCAATAACAAAGTGGCTTTACCATAAACTTGACATCTTAAAAGCAACCCAAAGCTACTTCATAAACTTGGTGGCTTTACCATAAACACCATCTTAAAATTAGTCCAAACTAACCACTCATTGAATCTCACAAAGTTACAAATATTGGCTCGGCTAAGCTCGGCTGATCCCACATGCGAACCACATAGTCCAAAAACTCTTTCGTTCTATTTTGTCTACTTATTTTGTGCAATATCCTAAACGTATACACTGTATGATCAATAATTTAATACTAAAAGCAAAATCAGTAATGACACGTGTCATCTATTGGTTGAAAAATTTTCCTCCACTTTTTTTCATTTTTTTAAAATTCATTTTTTTTTGTCTATTCTTACTAAAAAGTATTTATAGCCTATAATATTCACTTCCAATAATTTGGCAGTAACCTTTTTTCCACACACTCAAACGATATATTTCTATATGTATATATTTACATTAAGTAATTTTGTTATAAAAATGAGCATAAATAAGTAGTATATTAGGATATTATAATTCTTCTTTTTTAGTGGTTAAATTAATGTTGAACTTCAATATATAATTTAGTAAAATCCGTGCATTACACGGAATTTAAATTAGCTAGTAATTACTATATAATTACAAACTATAGTTCAAAGTAAGTTTAAATTTAATAATGAAAACTTAATATTTGAATACTATATAATAAAACGAATATAATAAAATCTCAAATGATATTTTAGTTATGTATAAATAATTAAAAATCACAAAATACAGTATTTTTTTCATAATTAGTTTAAGGTAGTACTCCTTAAGTGAGTTGAAGGTAGTACGTAGCATCATCGATCATCATGATGAAATATATTTAATTAGTTGATTATATGTTCTGTATCTAATTAGATTGTAGCTTAAAAGCCAAGCAAATCAAATTAAAAAATATATAATTGTTGTACTTTTTTTTCTGAAGAAATATAATTGTTGTACTTAGACGTAGTTGAATTGTGTTTCCCAGGATTCTTGTACGCGACAATTACGTATGGTTTTTTTTTTTCACCAGTAAAGGTCTTTGCTTGTTGACACAAATCATGCTTTAGTGTTGCATTACGTGCCATTTATTGATGGAAAAATGGCATAAAAACATCATTTCTATTACGAATTAACGTTAGTTAGATGATCCATTCCATGTTTCCTGATATAGTGATTCTGATGTAAGACTAAGACTACTTAGTTTTGTCTTGTTTCCATTTCCACTCTGCTGGCTGGTCTCGGACGTTACTACTACCTTGCATATTTTTTTGTCTTTTGGAACACCATATGAATTATGAATTGAATATGGAGTAGTTGATAGTCCATTTTACACGTACAAAGTACTATTTTAAAATTGAGAAAGCCAAACTTATTAATTAGCAAGCTAGTAGTCAACCATTGGGGCATAAATATAGCTACAAACAGAATTAGCTTGAAATCATATATGGCATGACAAGCTAATGTAACAATTAGCTTACCATTGGAGATGCTTAGTCTTATAACATTAGTAATAGTGAAAGGTCGTTCAATGAGACAATTTTAGAATTGAAGGACTTAAGTAGACCATGCATGTTGCCTTTCCTTTGCATTTATGCCCTAGGTAAAAGATCCTTAGCTTATTGCTTGATGAGCCTAGCTAATAGCTAAATTGTTTAAGTGATTGATAATAGGGTTATTTTTTGTACCCGAATGATTATTTTGGTTGATGACAATAATTGACTAAGTGTATGGGAGTGTAACATCGTGTTTAACTAATAGACTTAATTAATTGTAGTAACCAATGCATTCAATTTTTTTTCATTGTCATCAAATATGCTTATCGTAAGTATATATGATACCCATCACTTTTGTTATAAGAAAAATCTTCTTCTTATAATCCTACAATAATCCTACCACATCTACACATTAATTGTCGATAGCCTAGAGTACTACCAAATTCTAGTGAACAATGCAAGACAAAGTGTCACATACAATTACTAAATGTTATTGTACTTGTACTCCTTAAGTCTTTAGTGCCACCAACTCTTAACCAACTATTGAAGAACCTAAGCTAAAAATCATTCATATATTTTAAGAGTACAAGTTATATTGCAAATAGCTAGATTGCATGCACCACCATATTAACCCAAAATTAAGAATTTATATTGAGATTAACACAAAAATTCTCCCAGCAATTAAGGAAGAACAAGATTTGATCAACTAATTATAAAACTTAGTCATGCATCATATAGTCAATTATATCTGGTTCCTTTGTCTTCTTGATAGATAATGACTAAACATAAGAGAAAATCGATCTTTTACTCCACTTAACAATTATAATACTCCACTTAATTAATTATTTAACCAATCAATATCATAAATAGTACCATAAACATACCACAACTTATACGACATCCTTAATAAATATACACATTTTAATGTAACATAAATCTCTATTTAATCCATTCCAAATTTCCTGCCTCATAAACAGAAATTAAAACTTGTACATGCAATGGAAAATTCTATGATTAGTAATAAGAGTAGTAGTAGATGGGCAGCAACAGCAGCTAGCATATGGATACAAGCAATAATTGGTGGGACGTACACATTTAGCATATATTCACCTATCCTTAAATCATCCCAATCCTATGATCAATTCACCCTTAACACCGTGTCGGTCTTCAAAGACATTGGTTCAAATGCCGGAGTTCTATCTGGCCTTCTATACTCCGCCATATCCCCAGGAGGTATGCCCTGGGTGGTACATACGGTGGGGGCGGCCGAGGGGTTCTTGGGTTATTTCTTCATGTGGTTAGCTGTTGTTGGGGTGATCCCTCGGCCACCCGTGCCTATAATGTGTGTGTTCATGTTTTTTGCTGCACATTCACAAACTTTCTTTAATACTTGGAATGTTGTTACGTCTGTTCAGAATTTTCCTGATTATAGTGGGACCGCTGTTGGGCTTATGAAGGTACGTCAATCTCTCATTAATTTTGTTGAAGTATACCTTAAGAATCATTAGATGTTTACTTCTGCTACTCTGTTTATATTTTTTTTGAGAGACCAGTTGAAAAAAAAAATTATTTTAATGTTTAGAGAACCATGTAGGAAGTGATGTCGGCTAAATTCAATTCAAAACCTTGACTACCAAAGTACGAGTATATACATATAAAGATTTTACCAACTAAACTAGTTTGTTTGCATTAAATTTTATCTCTCTTCATTAAAAATTATTGACACATTTAACTTTTTTCACTACTTATATACTAATTTTGACCAAAGTTTTATAGTAATGTATTGAAAACTAATTTTATCATGAATTGAAGTTGTTAAATAGGCCAAGTATTAATACGTACTCCATGTCTTTATCTGTTTTATAATGATGTTTCTAGTTACATAAATCGATGCAAATTAAATACTTGATCGCAAATATCTTTAATCTCACACTAGCAAAAATTATCAAAGTTAGATATTAATCATTTACTCACCAACAAGATGAAACAAAGTAGAACTCATTTGATTATATTTGTTCTTATAGATTGAGAAAAATTAAGAGTATTCCCTCTCATTTTTAATAGTCAAAACTCTCAAAAGATTTCAAATAAGAACATGATCATTGTGAAATGGATGGAGTATATAATGTTTCACAATATCAACTTTTTTTTTTATAATTTTTTTTACTAACATTTAATTATTTTTATCTAAGGTTAAACTTGTGCATTGACATGTGTATCAATTTGACTGTGTCACTTATTATAGGACGGAGGGAGAACTATTTTGTTTTTGTAGACTACTTGAAGGAGATTAGAATCGTGTTGTTTGTGTAGTTCTCATTGCAGAACATGGAATGATGGAATTTTCTTAAGACTACTTGAAGGAGATTAGAGTCTCACGATTCGATTGAATATTTGAGTATCACTCTTTACACGTTTAGATAATACCTTTGACCTTGTTTGTTTACTAATAGTCTAATAATTTAGAAATAAATGTTATTTTCTTAATTATTGTTGAGCTAATCGCAATATGTATTGTCAAACTATAATTTTGTAAAAGCATGGTTAAAGATATTAATTAATGGGAATAATAAAAGTACATTTAAAAATAATGGAGGTAGTAGGTTTTAAGCCTAAGCATTGAAAGCTTGAGGAGAGACGCTCTGCAAGACTTATGTTGTAACCATTAGAAAATGTAAAAATACAATATGAGGAAAATAATCATGGTTTTGACTTTAACTAAACTCTTTTAGATCGATCTCTTTGGATGAAATCATATATGCACAAGAGAAACAAAGAGTGAGAAATATTATACCTCTAGTTTCTCCTATATCTAAAGATTAATAAACTTTGTTGATTACATGTTAATCAAAATCAATGTACAAAAGTTGATATTATGAATAAACACAATAATATAAATTAAATAAGAATCCACAAAATAATATAGAGTATTCTGTTAGTTTATCTTACACAACGTAATAGTAAAAAATTTCTTCAAGTATTAGTATACCCCCCCCCCCCCCCACCCTCCAAAAAAAAAAAAGTAATAGTAAAAAAAAGGTTTGGTGTAGTTGGTGAGCATTTCGCCTTGTAACTTTAAGGTTACAAGGTTGAATCCTTCCGGCTGTGGTACTTAGCGGTGAATATTCTTTATCCTATCCCTTTATTTTTAAGTGTTTGACTTGTAAATATGTCTAGTCAATATGAACTTAAAAACTAAACTCGGAAGAATTAATAGTTTGCGATTTTCCAAAATAAATCCTATAATTAGGGAATAATCAAACCATTATAGAGGACAATAAAGATGCTATGTTTTCCAAAGGAAGTACATGTATTGTTTAATTTGTATTGGCCGAACACCAAAAACCAATAGTAGATTGAAAAATAGTGTACCAATCAATTATATAGTTATTTTTAGTGCTATAACCTTGGCAAAGGAAAAAAATGTATAGGTGATATTTTGTACTGCATTTGTCCCACAATAGAAAATGGTGAATGTTGATAGGCTATATGAAAGTACACATGGCCAAATTTGAACCAATATAAGTATTAGTAGTTGTAAAATAAATTCAAACATTATTGGAGTATGAAATTGTGTAGCTCAAAAGAGAAGCAAAGCAAAAATTTCAATTTCTTGTACATGCACCAGTTGTAATTTTCACCAGTTGACGCCTATGTTTATGTATGTTTTTATTGCTACAAATCACGCCTTACGTGCCTATCCTTCTTGATGGATCGACCTCTAAAATTGCATGTTTCAATTTCTAATACGCGTTTGTTTGGCGGTATTTTGACAAGTGACCACTTTGTCTTGTTTTTGGATAAGGTGAAGGTGTAGAGTGGTGAGTTGAACAACTTTAACGGCCTTTCCAAGGTTGATTTGCCTCTTGCAATAGGGTACTTGTACTTCTCTTATAGAGTTGTCAATTCGAGTATTTGAGTCTGGTTTGATGAGGTTGGGCCAGGTTAGATCCATTTTATATATGAGTCAAGCTAAATTTATTGTCCACACAAGTCGAAATCTGAACTTGATTTTTTCGAATCATCCATTTTTGACACCTCTATAATCTCTAAGGCACTAATCTCTCCATATCTTGATGATTGTCTTGTAAGAAGTATAGAGTATAATATTTTGGGATGTTACTTTGAGTTTGTCCTATAATTCTTTTAATATAGTGAAATTGGAGTGTGTGGACAATCTTTAAATGATAGATGGAGGGGATACAATACATACGTGCTTTTCGAAAGTTATACTAACATTTTACAGGGTGAGTAAATCGTTGAAAAATAGTTTGCTCTCATATATATAGTAAGTGGTGTCAAATTAATCAATTTTTGGAGCGGGAAATTTAATCTTGTGAAATTCCCATACTCTGTTAATCAACATCAAACCTAAAAGATTGGTAGTAACTGTAATTAATAGACGGACGAGGTGTGTTAATTTGAAGATTTCACATGAGATTATAACTTCTACACCAAGGGATCGGATCCGTTTATTTTTGCTGTCATACTCTCAAAGAACTAAATTTTAACGTAGAAAAGAATAATAAGACTTGACACCACAAGGGTAGATATGGTCCATATAAATTATCTCATAGGAATGAAATTATCTAAGATAGAGAAGGGAAATTCTTTTACACCTCTTTACAATAAAAAATAATTAATAATATTCACATGTAGGCCATGCACAAATTTCTTTTTTTTTTTTTTTTTTTTTTTTTTTTTTTTTTGACAACTTAAATTTCATATCATAGCTTATACAGTTATACGTTGTCTTTATTTCAATTCTCATACCATACGACACTATAATATAAGCTCCTACCATTTCTCTCAAATCATAACTAAAACCAGAAATCTATCAACATTTAGTTAATGAAGTACCATGGAAAACTCCATAATTAGTAGAAGCAGTAGTAGATGGATAGCAACGGCTGCAAGTATATGGATACAAGCAATACTAGGTGGTACGTACACTTTTAGCATATATTCTCCTATACTTAAATCCTCACAATCCTATGATCAGTCCACCCTCGACACCGTCTCGGTGTTTAAAGATATAGGTGCAAACGCCGGGGTCTTAGCCGGTCTCTTATATACCACGGCTACCTCAGGGCACAACCGTTATGGCGTGCCCTGGATGGTTCATGTGGTGGGGGCGGTCGAGGGGTTCTTGGGTTACTTTCTTATGTGGTTAGCTGTTGTTGGAGTCATCCCACGCCCACCTGTGCCTTTGATGTGTGTTTTTATGTTCCTTGCTGCTCATTCTCAAACATTCTTCAATACTTGGAATGTTGTTACGTCTGTCCAGAATTTCCCTGATTGTAGCGGAACCGTTGTAGGTCTTATGAAGGTATGTCTTGTTCGTTTACGGGTTTGAAAGGGTCATTTTATAAGCATAGGGCATGTTTGACAAAAATAGTTGTCATAATAATTGTTCATTATTTTAGTAATTAATCTATACAACGTTAACTATTAGTGATTAGTGGCGGCCAAGGTATCTTATTAATATACAAGTGTTAGATACAACTAATAATTGTTGGACTTGCAAAATGACAAGAATAAAGACTTAAGTATGGTAAATTACACTTAAAATCTTGAATACTACTTTCAATACTTTAACCAGTTAAGTTGCCAGTTAAGTTGATATGATACAAGCTGCTTAATTTCATTAGGTGATATTGTGTAGAATTTTCTTAGAATATAATTGACGAAAATTTGAAGTAAAAGCTCGAGAGAATATATAAAAGATGCTTTTGGATAAATAATGTCAAATGCTAAACAAAAATATGCTTTTGTAAAAGGTAACGTTTAATTTATTCCCTCACATTTTCACAATAAAAAGAAGACAAGTTGAACAATAGTAAAAAGGCCAGGTGCTGTTGGGGGAAATTATCAAACGCTACCCCTTTCTGCAAAACGTTGGGTCTTAACACCAATCGTATGTTTAATTAATGTTTGAAAAAAAAAACAAAAAACAAAAAACGTTACTTTTCCTTTTCTTTTTTTTTTCACGAAAAAAAAAACAGAATCGTATGTTACTCTTTATGTATAGGATAGGTGAACAGTAATATAGGGCCTAGTAAACAAATAGTGTTTCGATTAATCCAAAAGCTACTATCAATATTAATACACCCTTAAGCGAGTTTTGACTTGATCAACTTCAATACTCGTACTTCTTTGGATATGTATTTAAAGTTTCAACATATCCAATCTCCAAAAAAAATTAATTTCTTGACACAATCCAATGGAAAAGACAATAATTAGCTATGCAATTTTTTTGAAAAGATGAGACCATATGTCTAATATTCAAAATAAGAAAATGTTTTAAATTATGTTTTTAATTCTGCAATAAAATATACTTTTTGCTTTAATGTTTCTAATTTTGCAATAATTACTTTTTGCTTATTGTTTGTTGGATTCGTCATAATTAAAAAACCCTATAAGATATTAATATAACTGTGGGTACGAGTTAACATTTGATACGAGAATTTTGAGTGTTAAATAAGTCGTTTTACAATCTCAATACAAAAAAATTGTCCCAATTAAGTGCTCCTCTAATTCTAGATTTTGAACAGGGTTTCCTAGGACTAAGTGGAGCAATCTTAATCCAAGTATACAAAGCATTTTTCAAGGGAAATCCAAGCACATACATACTAATGCTTGCATTGCTACCAAGTATAGTCTCATTATCTCTCATATATTTGGTGAAATTATGTCCAAATAAAACATCAGAAGACAAAAACCACCTAAATTCTATGTCCTTAGTCTCAATGCTTCTTGCTGCATATCTTATGATCATCCTCATCTTGGAAGACATTCTAGTGTTTCCCCATTGGGCACGCCTTCTAAACTTTCTAGTCCTTATATTATTCCTCTCATTGCCTCTAAAAATCGCGACTGAGGCAAACAAGAAGGAGAAATCTCAACCACTTCTCCTAAAAACAGAACCATTACTCTATGACTCAAATGATTCAAATGAGCCAGAGAAGAGCCTAGTGGGTGAAGAAGATGTCGAGTTGTGTCAAGAAAGCATGAACATCTTGGAAGCTATGGGAAGCATCAATTTTTGGCTATTGTTTCTTGCTATATTATGTGGAATGGGTTCGGGTCTTGCCACTATAAACAATATGAGCCAATTAGGTCAGTCACTTGGATATAACACAAGCAAGATTAATACATTGGTTTCACTATGGTCGATATGGAACTTCTTTGGTCGATTTGGAGCAGGCTATATATCTGATATCCTACTACGTCGAAGGGGATGGGCTAGGCCATTAGTGATGGTGGTCGCGCTAGGAGCAATGACTGTAGGACATGTGATCATTGGCTCAGGATTTTTTGGAAATTTGTACATAGGTACAATCTTGGTGGGAATTTGTTATGGTGCATTGTGGAGTTTAATGCCTACTATAACTTCGGAAATCTTCGGTGTTTTGCATATGGGAACTATATACAATGCCATTGCTATAGCAAATCCTTTGGGAACTTATGTTCTGTCTGTTTGGGTGATTGGTCATATTTACGACGAAGAAGCAGGGGAGCATAGTTCTTGCCTTGGTGTACACTGCTTCATGGTATCCTTCTTTGTATTGGCATTTGTTAGCTTCTTGGGCTTTATTGTTGCTCTTACGTTGTTCTTCCGAACAAGGGTGTTTTATAGGTCGGTTGTGCTAAGAAGACTACGTTATTCTCTGAGATGATAAAGAAGGATTGATGGTTCAACTCAAAAGTCATAAGGTAGCGCATTGGCAAACATCTTTAGATAGAGATTTGTACCGAGTCTAATACAGATAGGGTACATTTAAGTATACTATGAACTTGTTTATTCAATTTCATGAAAGTATATATTGTTCTTTGCTTATTTATATGTAAATTATTTGAACAAAAAGGATGGACTTTGATATTTTGTGAGTATCTATGCAAATAATTTTTCCTTATTATTAATCCATAGTATGCTAGTATTGTTCTAGTTTTTTTTTTTTTTTGTTTGTTTGGTTGTCCTTGTTCTATTTGTATGTAGTTTCTCTCTCTCTCTTTTTTTTTTTTTTTTTTTTTTTTTTTTTTTTTTTTTTTTTGTCAAACTATTTGTATGTAGTTTCTATTTCAGAGATAAGTGCTCTAAAACCATCACATAATCAAACAAAAGCAGCACCACCATCCACATCACTGTAATGGATATATTTCAATTCTTGCATTACTGGCTAGTTATTGTTTTCACCAGATGATGCCTTTGTTTAGTGTAACAAATCACGCATGTACGACGTCCCCTTCCATAAACAGATATGATTTGACCTCGAAAACTATATGACATTGCATCTCAAATTACCAATTCCGAATGAGATCTCGTCTCAAGATTACTTAACATTGAAATAACGAGTTAAAACTCATTAGAGTAGTCATTTTATATCCGTTACTCGAACATAAAACTCACCCAACTAGTATGATAAAAAATTCAAAATAGTTCTTGACAAAAGACCAATCTTATTTATCCATAGTTATGTGGTCTCGTCTTATAATTTAGATTGATACTCCCTTCGTTTCACAACGATATTTCTGTTTGAAATCTTTTGACTTTTAAAAATAAGAGAAAATATTCTAATTTCTCTCAATATATAGGAACAAATATAGCCATATAAGATCTAGTATGATTCAGTCTTGGTGAGTATATTAGTGTGAGATTTAAGATATTTACGGTTAAAGATTTGCAAAATTTTCATCGACTTACATAAATAGAATAGGAACATGATATTACTTTAGTATATTTATGATTTAAGTGACCTAAAAAGAAGGGAATTTATATCTATGATCGCTTTAATTTCTCCACTCATAGAAAATGACTAAAGCAAAGGGAAATTATTTCACTCCTCCCAACCAAATTATTTGATTCTTTACGTAGGCCATGCATAAGATTTGTATCAAATTAATTTACATCCACAAACCACAATAGCATAAAGTTTCTCAACATTATTGCACAACGTCCATAAATATTGATTATATTCCATGCAGCATACTTACCAAAATAAGTATTTTCCATTTTCATCCATCATATCCTAAACATAAATTAATCTAAGTAGAAATTAATTAATTGCCATGGAAAGCTCTGGGATTAGTAGGTACAACAGTAGATGGATAGCATTAGTTTCAAGCATATGGATAGAAGCATTACTAGGTGGTATATACACATTTAGCATATATTCCCCTGTACTAAAATCCTCCCAATCCTATGATCAGTCCACCCTCAACACCGTCTCGGTCTTCAAAGACATCGGCTCTACTTCCGGAGTTCTCTCCGGCCTCCTCTACACTGCAGCGTCCTCAAGGTATAGCATACCATGGGTGGTACACGTGTTGGGGGCGGCCGAGGGGTTCTTGGGTTACTTCTTCATGTGGTTAGCTGTGGTTGGAGTCATCCCTCGGCCACCCGTGCCTCTTATGTGTTTATTTATGTTTGTCGCTGCTCATTTTTTAACATTCTTTAATACTTGGAATGTTATTACGTCTATCCAGAATTTCCCTGAATGTAGTAGTACAGTTATAGGGCTTATGAAGGTAAATATATACTTCGTAATTCGTATCAATATATCGTAATATGTCTACTTTGTTTGTGGATTGGTTGTTTTATATTTGTAGGTTGGTTTATTCGTGACATGAACATAGTTACCAATTTAGGTAGTGTACTAGTGTTTGTAAATACTTTAAAATTTCTAATTTTAGCTTATTTTCATGAATTTTTTTTGTGTTTTCTAGCTTTTGGAAAAAAATAAATAAATTAAAAAAAAAAAATCTGTCAAAAACAGTAGATTGTTAGGCTTAGCCATGTGATTATTGTTTTAAAAAAGTAATGATATAGTTTTATGTATTTATAATAGGAGTATTTTAAGACAACAAATACTTTTACGTACAGTTCATCTACTCAATATGAACTAACCCCCTTGTGACATGCTTGAATGACCTTTGAATTTTATTTTCTATTATCATATACTTGTTCACATTATATTCGATGTCAAAGTTTTTCTAGATTATTTTTTCTTTTTTTACAAATTGTCATACTTAAAATAAATGTTCAGATTTTCATCATTAAATATAGTATCAAACTTTCACTATGAAATCCTTGAATATTCTTGTGTTTCAAGGTTGAATGAATATTGTTGAATGTTTTTTCTGATAAGTGATTCGTTTACAGGGTTTTCTAGGACTAAGTGGAGCAATTTTAATCCAAATATATAAAGCATTTTTCAATGGCAATCCAAGTACATACATACTAATGCTTGCATTATTGCCAAGTATAGTCTCATTATCACTCATATATTTTGTGAGACAATGCCCTGACAAAACAGTTCAGAACAAGAACCCCCTGAATGCTATGTCCATAGTCTCTATACTTCTTGCTACATATCTAATGATCATCATTGTAATGGAAGCCATTTTCGTGTTCCCACATTGGGCGCGCTTTCTTTCGTTTGTATTCCTTTTATCATTTCTCTCTATGCCTCTAAAAGTCGCTACAGAAGCTAACAACGAGGAGAATTCACACCCACTGCTCGTAGAAGACGATGCATTTTCACCCTGTGATGATGCTGATCCTAATGAACCTGAGAAGAGCCTTGTGGGTGAAGAAGTTGTCGAGTTGTGTCATGAAAACATGAACCTCTTGGAAGCTATGGGAAGCTTCAACTTCTGGCTTTTGTTTCTTGTTACGTTATGTGGAATGGGGTCGGGACTTGCCACCATAAACAATATGAGTCAGTTAGGAGAATCTCTTGGTTATGATACAACCAAGACTAATACTTTGGTTTCCCTATGGTCGATATGGAACTTCTTTGGTCGTTTAGGAGCAGGTTATACATCTGATATCCTGCTACGTCAAAGGGGATGGGCTAGGCCGTTAGTCATGGCAATCGCGCTAGGAGCCATGACTGCAGGACATTTGATCATCAGTTCTGGTTTTGTTGGAAATTTGTACATAGGAACAATCTTGGTGGGGATATGTTATGGTGCATTGTGGAGTTTGATGCCTACTATAGCTTCAGAAATATTCGGTGTTTTGCATCTGGGAACCATTTACAATGCCATTGGTATAGCAAATCCTTTGGGAACTTATGTTCTCTCTGTTTGGGTGATTGGGCATATTTACGACAAAGAAGCAGCAGAGCAAAATACTTGTCTTGGTGTTCATTGCTTCATGGTATCATTCTTTGCATTGGCATTTGTAAGCTTATTGGGATTTCTTGTTGCTCTCACGTTGTTCTTTCGAACAAGGGTGTTTTATAGGTCTGTTGTGCTAAGAAAACTAAACCGTTCTCTAAATAGATAACAAAAGGCAACCACCATTGCTTTTGCCAAGAATCGACTCCTCCATTTCATAAGTTGTGCATTAACAAGTACGGACATTTTTAGAAAGAGATGACTATGAAGAACAATTCTCAAGTATACCTCAAGCTTGTGTGGACACGTACACATTCAATCATAAGCACTTCGTATTTTTGTAAATTACTATTGCTTATTGTTCTCTTGAGAAATAATCAATTATGAGTACAATTAAATATAATTATGTATGCTTCACGATAGCTAATTTATAGATTAAGTGTACAGCTAGCAGATCTAAAAGCATGACTCTAAATAGTATAAGCTATGCTTTAATTATGTGAAAAGGGATATTTTTCCAAATCTTCCTGCTAATACGATTAAGTCTTTGAAATTATTTATAGTACTAATAATACCAAGCAACGTGGAAACAGCAACCAAAGACCTAATCAATGAGTGCATCAACTAAAACAAGTCCCTTAAATTTATTGTCAAACAAAGAAAAGAAATACATAAGAACAACACAAGTCCCTCAAATTAATCTCAAACAGAGAAAAGAAACACATTAGAATTTCATTGAACACAAAATAGATGCAATGGACAACATCATTGGCAACCGATGGGTAGCAACTGTGGCTAGCATATGGATACAAGCAACCATGGGCGGTTCCTACGTCTTTGGCGTATACTCCCCTGTACTAAAATCCTCCCAATCCTATGATCAGTCCACCCTTGACACTGTCTCTGTCTTCAAAGACATTGGCGCTAATGCCGGTGTCCTCTCTGGTCTCCTGTATGCAGCCACTGCTGCCTCATCTGGACCTCGTCGTTGGCGCTGCTTCCATGGACCATGGGTAGTCCTAGCTGCAGGTGCAGTCCAGTGCTTCTTGGGATACTTCTTCATGTGGCTCGCGGTTGTTGGGCTTATTCCTCGGCCACCTATGCCCCTCATGTGCTTCTTCATGTTCCTAGCTGCCCATGCTCAAACATTCTTCAGTACGGCTAATGTCGTTACAGGTGTTCTGAATTTCCCAGAATATAATGGGACTATTGTGGGGATATTGAAGGTCAGTTCATTCAAATTTGGATTTACAGTTTTTTTTACCCTTTGAATATTGTGTGCTTTTCTTATATAAAAAATGTTCCTAACATAAGGGACAACAAATCCATCCAATGTTGCTAGCATGACTACACAGACGACCTTAGATCACCATCCATCCAACAGATTGTCGCGATTGAAAGAGCCATAGAATATATCCTGTAGAACGAATCTCTCTAAACACATAAAGAACTCAAAATTAGATATAGAGCAAGTATTTCCATGCAACTCCAAGCAATGTCTAATATAAATTTGTCTAGGATCCATGGTGGTGAACTATACTACAGAAAACACCATCCTTGCAACAGATTGCGGCGAATGAGCTATAGGTCTGCTCTAGAGAGTCCCTTCAAATACAAAGAAAATCTTAACAGATATTATTGAACAAGTCTTCCCAACTCCAACCAATCTCTTAAAATTTGACAGCACCCAGGTCAGTCCACAACACCATTGATAACACATGATCCTAAGTCATCCAGATAATAAAGACCATTCCAAAGACTACACAAAAGATCTTTACAACGAAACTACATAAAAGTATTCTTGGGTTGCCTATTTCAACTTTAAAAATAATTGAACACAAACTTCATACTAGTCATCTAGACCTTATCTCAACAAATATCAGAAGTTACAGCTAATGCTTACAAAAAATAATCTTCTATTGTTAGTTGAATGTTATTGAGTGATTTCGTAATTTATATGGTCAGGGCTTTCTTGGACTTACCGGAGCAATGACAATCCAAGTTTATCAAGCATTTTTCAAGGGCAATCAAAGCACATTCATACTAATGCTAGCTTTGTTGCCAACTACAGTCACTTTCACAGTGATGTGTTTGGTGAGAATCAGCCCGGGAAGCAGACCAGATGACAAAAAGTACCTCAACCGTTTCTCCGTGGTTGCTTTGGCCCTAGCTGCCTTTATAATGACCATTATCATATTGGAAAATGTTATCGAATTCCAACGGTGGGCATGTCTTGTTACAGTTGCAGTTCTTATAGTACTGCTTTCATTACCTCTTAAAATCGCCATTGAAGCTACTAGAAACGAAAACACGTACCGAGTGCTTCTGGAAGGCGAATCACCAGCTGAGAGTGTTGCTGCAACTGAGGAATATAAAGTACTACCTAGTGCTTCAGATGAGATACAACCCGTCGAAGAAAGCATGGATATAATAGATGCCACATGTAGCTTAAACTTTTGGTTATTGTTTATTGCTATGTCATGTGGAATGGGTTCCGGACTTGCTACTATAAACAATATGAGTCAGATAGGACAGTCACTTGGCTACGACATAGTGAAGACCAATACATTGATTTCGCTATGGTCAATATGGAATTTCCTAGGCCGTTTTGGAGCAGGCTACATATCAGATATCTTATTACGACAAAAAGGATTGGCTAGACCGTTAATGATAGCAATCAGTCTAGCAACCATGACTGCAGGACATCTTGTTATCTCACTAGGATTTCCGGGAAATTTGTACATTGGAACTATCTTGGTTGGGATATGCTATGGTGCACAGTGGAGTCTAATGCCTACAATCACTGCAGAGATATTTGGGGTGAAACATATGGGTACTATCTTCAACACCATTGGTATCGCAAGCCCTATAGGAACTTACTTCCTCTCAGTTTGGGTGATCGGAAATATATATGACAGACAAGCAAGGAATACCAATACTTGCTACGGAGTTCACTGTTTCATGTCATCCTTCTTTATCTTGGCTTTTGTTAGCTTTTTGGGGTTTCTTGTTGCTTTGACATTGTTCTTCCGAACAAGGGCATTTTATAAGTATGTTGTCTTAAGAAGATTACATATTCTTTGAAACTGTAAAGCTTGAATTTATGTATCAATTCTTTTTCCCCTCAAGGAAGGGGTTTCAATGTGGCTTCTTGTTTGTATTGTTGGTCCTATATTTACTATCGATTACTCCATTTGTCCCTTGCTTTTTCATCATTTGACCCAAAAACTCTCATAAAAAGGCCCTTGGTGCAAAAAAAAGAGGGACACGGGGAGCACTTAGTAATTAATCGTGTGGTAGCATATAGGAAGTAACAAACTAACACTTTTCACAAAGTTAGTAGTTCACAAGGACTTCCATTGTATAGGAACGGCGAAAATTGTTTGTTTGAATAGCCCCTTCCATATTTTCCTCAGAAAGGAAAAAAAAAAAAAACAAATGCAGAAACCTACTATCCAAACAAATTACTACGTACAATTATCTTAAAATCTAGTGGAACTTTGGAAGTTAAGAGGGAATAGGAAAAATTGATTTTAAAGCCATTGCTTTCATATGAAAAAGATGTCAAGTTCCTATCTTGGCTTTTCCTTTTTTAACCACTAACACTTATCTAAGACAAAATGAGCCTTCAACAATCACCCCATCCTCACCCTCACCACAACTCTGCTATCTAACTTATCTCTTTTCCTCCTTTGCTATTTACCCTTTCTCACTTCACCTCCCTTCTCTCTACAATAATTGTTCTGTTACGGTTTTTAAGGGCTCGAATATCATAATTAGTACAATGCCTTAAAAATGTTTAAGTCAGCCCAGCTTTCTTTCTTTCTCCCTTTCCTCCAACTCCAACCATTGTTATCAAAACACACTATTAGTAGTCTCATATGCTGGCCAGTCGCGCTCCCTAGTAACGGCAATATAGGCATGCAAAAATAATTTCAACAAATGTATTTATCACCCTCCCCCTGCTTTCCCTCATCTTAGTCATCTAGTGTTATTTAAGCAAGAAAATACTCTTCCCCTCAGCTTCCTAAACTCGATCCTATTCAAACGAGTTGTAAGACTATCACCTATATCAATATGAGCAGTAGTGAGAGATGGATGGCAACAGTGGCCAGCATATGGATACAAGCAATCGTAGGAGGTTCTTATGCCTTTGGGGTATATTCACCTGCAATCAAATCCTCCCAATCCTACGACCAATCAACCCTGAACTGTGTCCGTGTTCAAAGACATAGGTAGTAATATAGGTGTCCTTTCTGGCCTCCTATACGCGGCTGTCACCGCCTCCTCCAGACCTCACCCCTGGCATTGCTTCCACGGGCCTGGGTGGTCCTCGCAGTAGGAAACATACAATGCTTCTTAGGCTACTTCTTAATGTGGCTCGCAGTTGTAGGGTTCATCCCTCGGCCTCCTGTACCCCTCATGTGCATCTTCATGTTCCTAGCCGCCCATGGTCCAACATTCTTCAGCACTGCCACTGTTGTCACTGGTGTACTGAATTTTCCAGATTATAGCGGGACCATTGTGGGCATCATGAAGGTGATTTGAATTCAATTGTTTTAATTTTTAAACTTATGTTTAAATTGTTTATGTTTCATGTGTCTGCAAATATCCTATAGTAGTACATTACAATCAATGCAATGTCAAAAATAGAAGACCTATATCGTCAGACATTACTACTAAGTTAAAAATAGAAGACTAATATCCATAGGTTCCATAAGGTGTAAGGTATAGTAATAGAGCAATTTGTCCAAATGGGTAAAATGAAAATGTTAAATTAGTTAAATCGACGAAAACAAAAGGTCATAAAAACTTAGATTAAAAAAGTTGTACAATTGATACAAGTACTTTATAGTTTACGAAAAAGTATTTCTAACTTTGTGAATCTTTCGTAATTAAAATATATATATATATATATATATATATATATATATATATATATATATATATATATATATATATATATATATATATATATATATATATATATATATATATACAGTACTTTAACCCATCAACATTGTGAAAATTATCAAGATTTAGATTTTTGTTTTGATTAGTTCTCTATTAAGATTTAAAGGATATATTTTGGATATAATCTAGCTATACACTAACTAGTCAAGTGGGACCAATTTGTCCCATATTAAAATCAACAATTCTCAAAATTAGGACCCCTGGACCATTTAGGAGATTGATGGTCCAATTGTCTTGCTTCATGCACTTAGATTTTTTTGTTACTAATAAATCTTATAGCTATATCCCATATGACTTCCTTAAAAAAACATTCATTCAAATTTTCATTCTACAAAAATCACATTTCTTGAGGGCATACTCAATTTGTTCTGCAGATTATATTCCATCTTTCGGCTATTCTACTCCGACCCATCAAGACATCGATCCTTTTATGAAATACAAATTTTCTCTTTTTTTTACTCCTACATAGATTAGGGCACAGTTTTTACTCCTAATCTTTACATTGTATCTTACTTTTTAAAAAATAAAAATATACAAAGATGCCTAGTTAGGCTAAAACCATTAAATCTTACAAATTGCTGAGTTTGAAATTTATTGAATGTCCCTTAATTAGAGGTGTTAATTCGAGTAATTGGGACAAGTTCGGTGAGGTCAAGTTAGGTTAGGTTTATTTCAAATTTGAGTTATGCTAAATTATTGTATCTATATAAGTCGAAATCTGAATCGAATTTTCTTTGGATTGGGTCAATCAAGTCAGTTTTTAACACCTCTACCCCTAATTAAACAATCTCTCTCCAGATAAGAAACCCACAGAGTCATCGTGTGTTCTCTTTTTCTTCTGACTAAAAATATCATAAATACTTATTTGATTGGTTTTAAAATTTCGAAGATACAAAAGTATACTTCTTACTATTAATTGTTGGTCGTTAAGTTAAAATATTAGGGACTCCCACCTCACATCGAGATCAATAACCTTAGACCCTCGTCGATTAGTCCGGATAAACCATAGGTAAGCCACCCAAATAGGCCAGCAATTTCGAAAGTGATATTACTTAATAATACAATTTTGAAGGCTACTTATAACTTCCTCAATGGACATGTAATGTAAATATTCTTGGAATAGCCTGTTCTCTACAACTCCACAAGATTGGCAGGACCACAAACCCACAATCTAAACCAAAATAAACTTTATTTATACTAAAAGCAGGAAGCTCAAGCAGACATCAAGTCATCAACACATCGTCAAGTGACACCTACTCATAATTCACCTTTTTTTATATTCAGCAATAACTTGAAAGAAGAGTTGCAATTAAAAGTGAACAGAGGAAGTATTACTTGTTTTCCATGGTTTCAAACCTCTTCTATGTCATTCTAATCTAAGCCTTCCAAGCTTCGAATCAACCTCACCAGAGATCAACAGTCTTATTAGTCAGCTGTATCACAAAAAACAGAGAATAAAGGATTATCGGCCCTTTAGCAGTCAATACAAACTTTGAACTAAAATTACAGGCAAACACCCGGCATCCTGTGTCCATACTGCAAAAAAAGCCACAAAGATCATTGACAATATAACAGTACTAGACAAAGGTCATAAATCATGCCCGGAAGACCTGTGACAAACATTAGCAGGAATCATCAAAAGAAATTCGTTCTAAGTGCTGATGGTCAAAGAATCATCCCTTTATGAGTGTAAGGTCTAATAATACTAGTTTATTTTTTTAAGAAACAAACTACAGTACAGATGCATAGTAGATCAAATATAAAAGCATACTAAAAGACAGCAATGGTAACAAAAGGGAAAATTTAGAAAGTGATGTGCTACTGCCAACATTCTACGAGTATATACAGTAAAAGACACTTAATCAGAGATTAACTGCATTAACAATGGTAATAAGCAATGCCCGAGACTCTTTTAAGACTCTAGAGTCTAGAATCTAGAATTTCTCAGGTAGATAACAAATTAACAACTTTCCTGCTTAAAACTTTGATTTGTTATAAGTTGTGCACATGCATGGCTTTTCTTAACTTCCAATGTTCAATGAAAGTTACGGAGTAGTATTTTTTTTCCCCTCGTTAAAATGGTCAGGGATTTCTTGGACTAACTGGAGCAATTTTAATCCAAATATATCAAGCATTTTTCAAGGGAAACCAGAGCAACTTCATTCTAATGCTGGCTTTGTTGCCAACTACAGTCACTTTCTCACTGATGTGCTTGGTGAAAATCTGCCCAGCAAGTGGATGCGATGACAAAAGGCACCTAAATCGCTTCTCACTAATTGCCCTGATTCTGGCTGTGTTTCTTATGATCATCATCATACTGGAAAATGTACTTGAGTTTCCAAAGTGGGCACGCCTTTTTGCACTGGTAGTTCTATTATTGTTGCTTGGTTCACCTCTTAGAATTGCCCTAGAAGCTATTGGCAAGGGAAAATGTCAGACACTGCTTCCAGAAAAGGAGCCACTGTCTGACAGTATTTATTTACATGAATCTGACGAGTTTGTGGGTGAAAAAGCTTACAATGAATTATCCAGTACTTTGAATAATATACCACCACCAGCTGAAGAAAACATAGATATTATGAAGGCCATGCAGAGCTTTAACTTTTGGTTGTTGTTTGTTTCCATGTCATGCGGAATGGGTTCAGGGCTTGCTACCATAAACAATCTAAGCCAGATAGGGCAAACACTGGGTTATGATACAGTAAAGATAAATACATTGGTTTCGCTTTGGTCAATATGGAATTTCCTAGGTCGTTTTGGAGCAGGGTACATATCTGATATATTACTGCGGCAAAAAGGATGGACACGACCGCTGATGGTTGCAATCACTCAAGCAACCATGATTGCCGGGCATCTCGTTATTTCTTCGGGCTTCTCAGGAAATTTGTACATAGGAACTACCCTGGTTGGGATATGTTATGGTGCTCAGTGGAGCCTAATGCCCACTATTACTGCAGAGATATTTGGTGTTCAGCATATGGGTACGATATTCAATACCATTGGTATAGCAAGTCCGGTTGGAACTTACATCCTCTCAGTTTGGGTGATTGGACATATTTATGACAAACAAGCAGGGGAAGACAATACTTGCTACGGGGTTCAGTGTTTCATGGTATCCTTCTTTATCTTGGCATTCATAAGCCTATTGGGATTTCTTATTGCTCTAACATTGTTCTTCCGAACAAAGGCATTTTACCAGTCCGTTGTGCTAAGAAGATTGCGTTTCCTTTGAAAAAGTAAAGCTTTTGATGTAAGGGTTCTTGTTTATCATATGTTGTTTGGTCCGCTTTGTTCTATGAGATATTGAGATGTCATCCATAGGGGCATAAGAAAGGAAATAAGGCAATGATTTTAATAATTATTGATAGAGTCTCGGCCTCTTGTAAGTTGTAAGAAAAGTACAGTATGCATAGCAGGTTTAATCTAAAGCAAGGAAGTACTCCCTGCTTATAACAGTTTCGTACCACAATCTCCTTTTCCTCAGGCACTAGGATGTGTGAATGTGAAGCCTATCATATGTGGAGGCAACTGGGATAGAAAAAATGGATGTCACTATTAAGATCAAAAGAATTGGATACACTTCCAATGGTGCTCAATGGTCTCCCTCCTGGCTGCCTAAAGTTGGTGTAAATGATATACAGTATTGCCTGATGCTAGATGAAATTTGATCGGCTGTTCCATTTGGATTATTGTACAAGTCACATATCAGAATGCAGAAATTATTAAATTCCAAAACTGGTTGTACAAGATTCTACAGCAAGTAAAAGAATAATGCCATCTTCACAAATGAGCATATAACAACAAACTACAAATTATCCACTAATCTATTGATGCTTGTGTCAATGATAGCATGATTACAAATTAGCAAAATGACACTCTTAAGAAATATATCACTAACAATACAAAAGCAGGGCTTTCAACAGGTAAGGGGCAGAAACAATTCCAGTTAGCATAAACACATAAAGCTAACCTTAAACTCTAAGTAGTTAATATTTTAGCACCACTTGCCACAGATCTTCTAAGTTTCCACCGCATCCTCCAATATATGGTACTTCGGTCAAGCTTAAGATGCATATCAGACATTTTGTGCTCCTAGACAAGAAATACACAAGAAGAGAACTTTTAGCAAAAGAATTCTAGTTCGCGATCCAATTTCATAAAACAGCCTTACAAGAATCTTGTAAAAAATCCTATTGACATCCAACAAGAATCATTGAAGAGAATGCAAAAACTTACATGATTGGAACATTCCAATATGGCAATATGCTAGGGAATTTCAAGCCATTGACAACATCAATTGATCCGATTCTTCTCCAAAATGCACAAAACACCACCAAGATATGCATATAGATCATAGCTTCTTTTCCAAACCTCTAAAGGATAATGATGGTGAGATAAGCTTGCAGTGTGATCAATTAGAGGCGGAACAAAATAACATAAAATAAGACAACAATGCTGCAAATCTTTATGTCCATTTTACACTTCCATTCAAGTAAACAATAACCAACAATCATCAAAGGTTATTTGATGACTATTTCAACATTGGTTGATGTTTATTATCCCTTTTAGAAAGCAAGCCATCAGTGGCAGGCCAAGCATAAACAGCATAGCCAGATTGATTTCGGACGAGACTCTGCAGCAACCGGAATCCACTCTACTCGGAAATGAAACAATTTTATCTCCTTCAATTTTGTATGAAAATACATAATATGAAAGTCTTACAGCCTGTAATTACATCATTTTTTTGGCAAATCTGGCAACTGCAACAAAGACCAATAAATGTCAGCATAATTACCTATAAAGAGTACTATTTCCATTAGTAAGGGCGCTATTTCCATGAAAAAATTGCCCATATTTTGATAATCCTTGGTCAAAATTATAAGAAGATAGTTTAATCTGAGCGCATTCAATTGTAAGTGCATGAAAAAAACATTGAGAATTCAAAGTGACATGAATAATGGCACCTCAAATTATGTAATTATATTGCTTTTCAGCAAATAAATACAAGTACTGTAAAACAATTAATAATATGATCATAAAACCTTAAATTAGTGCTGGGACTTCGGATATTCAATTGGAATAATAGAATTACGAATTCAAACTTTACCCAAAAAATAATACACAGTTGAATCGAAATACATACTGCTCATCCATTACAATTAACGATAAACCCTAAAAAAAACTTACCTCAAGAGCTGCTTCAATGGAGATTTCAGAGTGCGCGCTCCAGTTTCTCTTAGAAATTGTTTATCACATACATTTTCATAAATAAATCAACAATTTTGTTTAAACAATAACGGTGGAGCCCACATGAAGAACCTTTTTTTTTTTATTTTTTAAACAAAAACTTGTTGATTTATATACGAAAACATCATGCGATAAATAGTTATTCTTTTTTTTTTTTGAAAAAATTGTCCGGGAATAATCCAATTTTTGGGGCGTCCGCTAAAAATAATCTCATCTTTGTGTTATTTTAAAATAATCCGACCTTTGAGAGCAGATTGGGTATAAAGTTAGCGAACGCCCCAAAGGTCGGATTATTCCACGCAATTTTTCCTTTTTTTTTTTAGACAAAATAGTTATTCTTTATTACTAAAAGAAACTTGTATTTTCTGATAAATAAGGGTGTAAAGGTTAGGGTGGTACACAGTTTGGTCTGAACTGTAATCAAACTGTATTTTAGCGGTTTCGTTTGATTTACAGCTAATAAAAATACGGTTTGATTTATGATTTTTTGTAAATACGGTTTACTGTTTGGTTTTTCAAAAATTATAAACCAAATTAAACTGTAAACTTGTAAACCGTATTTTAATATTTATATAATTTTTAAATAAATTAAAATAATTAATATATATTAAAATAATAATAATAATAATAATAATAATACTCCCTCCGTCCCATAATACTTGGGACATTGGGGTGTACACGTAGTTTACGAAAATTACAAGTGAGTCCATTTAAACATTTGTTTATTATATAAAGTATTCTCTTTTGTATTTTTATATTGTAAGAAAATAAAAAGTGGGGGAGGTGGGGGTAGTGAGGAGAGAAAAAATGTAGGATTAGTTGGGTTTTGGGGTTTGTGGTCCCAAATTAAAGAGAGTATAGGAAAGTATTTATTTATTAGTGGTCTCATTCCATATTTAGTAACATGTCAAGTATTTTGGGACGAATGAAAATGGTAACTGTGTCAAGTATTATGGGATGCAGGGATTTTCACTGGTATTTTTAATTGCTTTAAATAAATTGATCCCATCTTTAAGATGGTGATTATTCTATTAGATTTAATTTCTTTATTTGTTCCTTTGGCGAGGATTGAACATTTAGGGTTTCAAAATCTCCGAAATCTAGAAGACCATATGATTATTATCACTCAAACAACTATGCATCGGTAGATTTCAAGTCGAATTAGTGCTAATGATGAGTCTATTTTATATATATTTTTATTCCCCGTCCCACGGTCATATTTGTGCTTATTTGAGCTCTGCGGAGCTATTTTTATTATTAATATTCGTTTTCTAGTGTTTTTGTAGAGTTGGTATTATTTTTGTAGGAATTTACAAATTTATAATAATTTCGGAGCTTATTGAGCCACTACGAAAATATTAGAGTCGGATCGCATTTTATAAACGAGTATTTAAAGCTCCAGACCGTACTAAATAAATTTATTTCGATGATTAAGGGTTTGATACATGAGAAGGTCCAAGATTACAAGTTATATATTATTACGAACCAAACAATAAGGCCACGGATTACAAGACAAAGGTTAAGTTATTGGCGGTCCAAGTGAAAAAGGCCCGAAATCAAAAGTCAGCTGGGCGTGAATTAGCAGGCCCGATCGAGCGAGTATGCTGCAAGTATAGTTAGGGCATCTTTAAGGGTGAACTATTTAATTGTTCACAATGAATAAACAAATAAAGTGATGGCTTAATGGCAAACCTTTAATGGTTCATGTTGAGTGGTCATGGGTTCGATTGCAGGAGCAAGCATTTCCATGAATTAATTCGTTGTGGGCCCCACCAATATTTTGGACTGGTATTATAGCAAAACGACGTCGTTTTGCTGTTGAAGCTCAGAAAAAAAAATAGAAATCAGCGGCTGGGAGCGCGCCACTTGGCCCAGCCGCTGCTTGACACGTGTGCACTGTTTTAAATATATCCGTTGTAATTTTGCAACGGATATATTTTACAAAATACAAATCAAAAAAAAAAAATTACCAACGACTCTATTTTTGTCCCCTCTATAAATAGACACCCATATTGATATATTTTTTTCAACTTTCAAAATTCATTTTTTTCTACTATATTTTTCTCTTCAAAAATCCCCTCTATAATTACCAATATTATTATTATTATTTATACGAATATTAATATTATTATTGTTATTATTATTTTTAATTATTATCATTAATATTATTATTAATATTATTATTATTATTATTATTATTGTTTTTATTATTATCGTTATTATTATTATTATTATTTTTATTATTATCGTTATTATTATTATTATTATCGTTATTATTATTATTATTATCGTTGTTATTATTATTATTATTATCATCGTTGTTATTATTATTATTATTATAGTTATTATTATCGTTATTATTATCGTTATTATTATTATTTCTATTATTATTATTGTTATTATTATTATTATTATTAAATTTTTATTTTTTCCAAATATAAATTATAATTATGGATGCTAATACCAACCCCAAAACAAATAGAAAGCAAAAAAAAAAAATTGGGTCAAAATATGATCCCGAATCAAGCTAATTTTCCTCCAATTCACCCAAATTTTTCACAAACATCCACAAATATTCCCCATAATTTTTCTGGAGTTTATCCTCAAATACCCCAGTCAAGTTTCCCATATAATCCACCAAATTTCCCTCAAAATTTTAATTTTTCTCAAAGCAGTTCAAATTTCCCACATCCATCCATGATACCAATGGGTTACGGTGAATATGGTGCTGCATCTGGTTATTTTCCGTCACAACAACCGAATCCCAATATTTGGGAATCGAGCAATGTCTTATCTGAAGAAGATGAGGCAAATGAAGAATGTGAGGATGATGGTGAGGGAAATGAAACTCCTTCTCCCCATCAAAACTTCAGTCAAATGTTACAGCAACCACTCCAATCAACTCCTGAATATCGTGTTGGTGGTTCAAACAATAGAGGTTGGTCGCGATCAGAAACTGCGGCTCTTATATCCGGCTACATGAACACCAGCACCGACATAATTATCGGCACAAACGTTAATACCAATGAGTTTATGAATGCTGGAGGGAACGCTAATGAGGACACTACCGAGTACCGTACTGATCGTATTGTGGATATCGGCTTATACTTGTCTCGTAGAACAGAGATTGAGGATCAACAGACTCATTTGCAGCTAAAAAACGACTTGGTCGAACATATATGGAATAAATTTGGTAACAACGAAAACTTAGGCAACTAGGTTTACAACAAATGGTTATCCCTAAGGACATCTTACAAAACGATGTGTAGTTGTGTTTTTTTTTTAAATAAAATGTACTAGATTATAGTTGTAGAACTGTAATCACGATTAGTACCTCCTTTTTTTTTATGTTAATTAAAATTAGCTGCGTTGTTGTTTAAAAAATATTAATCACAAGAATTAATTTTTTAAAAAGCTGATAAAAAAACGCGATAATTTCTTAATTAGTAATCACGATTAAAATATTAAATACGTCAATTAATTACATTGACATCGGTTAATAAATTATAATTATGAAACAAAAAGATTATATTTACAAAAATAAAATAAGGTGGGGTAGGGAATATTGATGATGAACCATTGTTTAGTGTTTATTGTTAAGAGTGAATATTGTAAATGATTTGTTGGGTTGATGTGGATGAGAGAGAAATGGTGATAGTGACCCATGAATCATTTTTTTTTGTTCACCAATAATGGTGCTCTTAAGTCTGTCTTCAAATGTTGGAAGAATGATGAGATAGCAGGAGCAAAAAATTAACTTCTTGTATTAGCTTTTAGGATAGGTTTTGTCAGCTTTTGATTGTTTTATAATAGTTTTAGTTTGAGTGGGATTGGGTGGATTTGACTTTTCTTATATAAGGGAGGTAGTAGTAGTTTTACGAGAGAGTGATAAGATTAGTTTTAGTTTGTTAATTTTCTTTTAGTTTAGCTTTTACGTAGTTTAGTTTTAGTTTCGTTTTGTTTTCTTTCCTACGTTTCTTTGTTCACATCAAGATTTATTATTTTATTTTCTTATTACTTTAATATTATTATTCTCTTTATTTTAATTATTGTTTTTATTATGTTTTCTTTAATTGCTTTGGTTAGTTTAGATTTAATTATGTGTGAATAGTTTAATTTCTAGGGTTGTGGGAATCCATAAATAATATGAAGGGGTAGTTTATTATTGTTGATTGTCAATGCTTGTTTGATTTTCTATTGATTGATTTAATGCTATGCAATTAGATTTGGCCAGGTTTAATTGTATGAGTTATGCAATATTGATTCGAGATTCGAGAGATAAGAATTGATGTTTAGACTTAGTTTCAATAGGCAGGTTAATCTATAAATGGTTAAGTCAAGATTCGAGAGATGCGATTTAATATCAATAGATTAATTCCATGATTGTAATACGTAGCGAAATCCCTTTATAATCTGATTAATTGATGTATTGATAATTGATTGTTGTGTTTTACCCTGAAATATTATTTATTGGTGAACCTATACCCTAGGCTTTGATTTATTGATTTCTCCCTTATTTAATTTGCTTTACTTTAATTATTCTTCTTAGTTTAATTCCCATAAAAATAATCTGGTTACTTGATAATCTAGATTATATTAATTATTTAGGAATAGATAGATTTGTTTCCCGTAAATTCGACCCTACTTCCCTATCTGCTTTAGCTAGAGGACTTAGGTAATTATTTTGATTATGTGATACGACTTTAGCCTGCCAGCTAACTCATAGATTGTATTGCTTTGGATGAATTTTTTTTTTAAGGCGATCGTTGATCGAATCTGCGATGGAATTAGTTCTAAGGTGATATGTATTTGTATTAGAATTTTAAATTTCTTAGAAATTGTTTGTAAGTGCCGTTTGGCTATCTTTTATTAATGAAATCCTTTTTTTTTCCTGTCAAAAAAAAATAGAAAAATAAATTACAACATAAATAATGTGTTAGCACTTGTTATTTTTATTGTAAATTTGTAATACAATTTAATCCATTTGGGCTAATTATTTAAACTTTATAATAAGTTTTTTTTTTTGAAA